GGAAGTGTGGAGGGTCATTTTTTAAATTAGAACTGGAATACTCAACCTGCTCTTGTGGTAAGAGCTCCCAGAGGATTTATTTTAATAACTTACAGAGGATGCCGACAGCCCATCTGAACGCCAGCCTTTGATTACATTTGAAACTACCTCAGGTCGGCACCACTATGTGAGATAAAGGTGGAAACAGATTGTCATTTACAGGGAAGGGCTGGAAACTAAAGAGCCATCGAAAAAAAAAAAAAAAAAGTATTGTCAATTCTAAACGGAGTCCTTGAAGAGAGCTCTATGATTCATTAAACAGTGACGCAGGTTGGAGTCTGATCAATATTTTTTCTTTATTCCCTTGTAAATAGAATATCAATAAAAACACACCTTAAAAATAACAAATTAAGGTTTTATCCAACAGATGTAAAAGTAACAAAAGGCCCATGTAGCTCTCCTACACGGGCATGACAACAGTCTACTGTCCAAAAAAGGCACTAAATCTTGAAATAGAAAAAGAAGAAGGTCTGAAATAACAAAAATAAAATGAAATTCAAAGTGATACAACATACATCCAGCTGAGGTTTGATATTTTTCTTGTTTACAGAGATTTATTGAAGCTTATTGCCCGAATGAAATGGCGACCACCATTCTTTTCTTTTTTTTTTTTTTTTTTTAAACTGCTATAAGGTTTAAAGTAGTGCTTCCAGTCCGTGCCTGATTAGATAAGGGCTTCAAGTCTGGGAAGTCTACGGGTTAAGTCCACTGCATTCACACGAAACGACCAACATTTCTCCTCTTCAGCCGTCTCGCGACCCGTGAAGGCCCTAAACGGCGTCTAAACTCTTAAAAAGACGCCTGTGCTGCGCTGTCTGGGCCGAGAGAGGAGGGAAAGGAAAGAGGTTTGAAGAGCTTCTGTTTTACTGCGCTTTCCTTTAACCAGAACTCTGAGTTCTGAGTCCGCTGCCGACGTTGTTCAGAAAACAAACAGTCGTCAATTCAGCTTCTTTAGCTTCACAAAAAAAAAAAGCCTCCTCAAAAGCTTGCTAAGCACATTTTCCTTTGATTTTTTCAAAATGGTTACACTATGTGTCATATCCGTTACTCTGGGGGGGTTTAAAATAAAAAAGGACATCACAAGAGGACTATGAAGGCAGCATTACGTGACTTCCAACCTGAAACAAATTCAAAACAGCACAAGGTCTTGTGCTACAGATTAATTTCAGAAAGGCTTTCTGCTTGGCAGATAAAAAAACCCCAAAACAATAAAAATATTCTCTCTTTTTTTTTGGTGTAAATAATTCAAAACAAATGGCAAAAAACAGCTACATAAGTGATTATTGATGCCTCAAAGCTTAAAGCAAAAATAAAAAAAACACATGAACACAAACACTGGGGACAGCTCTGCTGCCGTGCAGACATTCCAGCACGAAATGCCATCACTAGGAAGAACTATTTTTGGTTTTTCCTGGTGGATGTGGGAGCTTATTAACACATGAATTCCTCTTTTTTTTTTTTCTTTTTTTTTTTTTTTTTTTTGTGGAGCTTCCCTTTGCACAAAAAAAAAAAACAACAACCCAATATTCATAGGCTCTTATTGAAAAAGGCGCTTCCCTTGTTTGCTTTTGCCACGAGTTTGCCGTCAGTCAGTCCGTATCTACAGCCCCTTAAGAAGATTAAATAAAAACTCACATTGAAGTGGCCGTGGAAGAGGAAAAACCCGTGGGGGTGTAGCTTATAGCTGAGGGGGGGGGGGGGGTGAGGTATCTGTGTGCGGTTCCTGACAAACGGTGATGCGTTTGAGGGCCACTCTGACGTGGGCTGTAACAGAAAGCCTGCTCGGTTTTCTTTTCTTAGTAGTTCTACGCCGATGCAGCCATTGTAGAAGGCCGTTTAGGGTTTTAGGACGGCTCTGTGCAGCAGGGCTAACGGTCTGGATGGACAACTGGTGTGGAACGCCACCTGCTCTGTTCATGTAAAAAAAAAAGTAAAACATTTTTTAAACATTGTTCAGAGCTCCAAAGTTGTTTTAAAGATGGTTCTGACATAACAACATCCTTTGTGGAATATTACAAAGGGGCCTGGGACTATCCCCATAGTTTGTGCCTCTTCTTTTGAGCCTCTTTAGGTAAACAGTGGTAAAGCAGAACATTTAGAAGCTGAAATGTTCCAGTGAGTTCTAACCAGGCGTTTTTCTAATGTGGCCCCCGAGTGGGTTTCTTTACAGCTTAGCCAAATTATGCTAACCCAGTTAACGTCAAAAGGCCGCTTCATTCCCCTTATTTAGTGACACCTCTCATAAAGCTTATTCAAAAGGACATTTCCTGGCATTCTATTTCCTGGCTGGTGGCTAGCTTAGGTCGTTTTAGCATATTGACCTTCCATTCCCTCCTTTGAAGCATACAGGTCATGAGACGTTTGAGGGTCCTAAATGTTGCAATCACTAAGGCCCGTTTTTTTCCTTTTTTTATTTTCCTTTTTTTATTTAAGCCCTGAAAAAAAGTTACGCTCGACGGAGCAAAAAAAGGGGCGAGGCTTTAGTGTTTGTGAGGACATCGTGATTCCAAACATGGACCAAACCTGCCCTGAAGCCTCCTACACCGCCCTCTGGTGGCCGTAAAGAGAAACGACAGGCCTGCTGCACTTCTACAGTGGCTGCGCTCGGACTCCTGGAGATGTGGTGTTGTTGTGGTGAGCAAAAGGGAACGCGCCTGTTGCAAACGGGCTGATCTGAGGAAAAACACGAGTGTCTCCGTCCTCCGCGGCCGCCTGCCGTCGGTCACTCGCAGTGACCCGTCACGGGCTGCAGCAGCGGGGGACTCTTAGCACCATGGAACTCAATAAAGTGTCGTTGGAAATGGAAATAGGACGCGAGGGCTGCCGGGATGCGTTTACAACACACATGGAGGACCACAGTCAGTCTGACACATCTGATGTGCCTCTGATTTAGCGCAGCTACATGATTCGGGGTCCATCCGCGACGGCCGTACAATAGAAACAGTAAATAATGCCCCCCCCCCTCCATTCTGAAACAATCTGGAATGGGTTGCAAGACGTAGGTCAAATCAGAATGCGATGATCGGCGCAGGAAAACTGGCAGATTATTAGCTATAAACACAAAAATCAAAGGCTAAAGGTCAGACATTTTTCCATGGGTGAGGAAGTGGGCTCATCCTGGATTTTATGGCAGAGACTCTGGCTATGTAGCAACCCCCCCCCCTCCTGAAAAACGATCCGGATTGGAGCACATGCAGCTCTTTAAGAGCCCGCATTTGCCTTTCTGTGTTGATGAGGCCTCTCCAGATGTGCGGGTGCTAATGCACATCTGCGCAGGCCTTGCACACAAACAAGCCTTCAGATTCTCCCAATCTTTCAATAAATTAAAGTTGAAGATATGAACAAGCTCAGATTGCTGAGTCTTGTCTTCACTCCTGAGATTCTGCCTCCGTGAGGCTTATATCTTTACTCAAACCAGTCCTGTTGCATCGTGTTGTTTTTCGTACCGCTCACTTTTACAGCCCTCAAATTGTGGACGAGCCCAAATGTCTGACTCTCAGCGTTCTGAACGCGCTGTGAAGAGGACCATCGCACTCTGCTTTTGTGGACGTCTCACACGCTTCCAGACTGTTTCGGGACGGAGACGGAAGGCAGACACTAAAAAGGTAATACTTTGGCTAATGTTCACTCGCCTCTCACCGACGACAGAGACTCATACTGGTAGTTTCTCTCATTATATGATATACGTCTATATAATGTAACTAGAAAAAGGGATTAAAGAGAACATACATGATATGTACGGACACGTGGTATATGCAAGTATTCACTACGCTTTCAAACTGACCGGCTGACCAGTAGTGATGACTGATTATCTCACAGTGATCAATCATTTCAGGGTAAAACGGGGTAAAAAAAACAACAAAAACAACCCAAAAAAAAGCCATAATGATAATCCAAAAAGCAGCGGGTCATACTTGGTATTTGGCTGCCACTGACACATGAGGACAAGAAGGCCGTTCTGATTAATATCTCGTTCAAATCCGAGGACCTAATACTGAAACCAGTTGTTTCAATGCCACTGAATTCATTTTGGTTCAAAGCCTGTTCAGGAGTATTCGTGGGCTTTAGGTTCCAATCTGGAATTCCCGATGGGCTGTTTACGCAACACATTTGCGCACTTGTGAAAAATAATAACCGAGAAGGATTTAATCATCTAAACTAAAAAGAAAAAAAAAAAATCAGTGCAATAAATTCAGTAATATTTAAACTCTTACAGCAAGTATTCAACATTTCATACTTATAGAATTAGGAGTTTAAACCTCAAATTATCATGGCGTTTTAGTTTACTCTGAGCTTATTCAATCAGTCAAGGAGAGGATCGCTCCTGATTCTCTTTTTACGCTATTTATCATCGTCAACCTCGAGTTTACTCTGTCCTCGGCGGATTGGAAGTCTAAAATGCGGCGATTGAGAATGCGCGGCGAGCACATTTGCGCCGCTGGGTTTTTTTTTAAAAGCTCGTGCCCGCTGAGGCTTGTTCAGTTGTGTTGTGATCACAGTGAGGCCCTGAAGCCGAGCTGAGTCCTGCCGCGAAGCGCACAGTTCCCAGAGGAACCGTGTCCCGCTTCGACACACGATCGTGGAATATTCTAAACATCTGAATGCAAAAAAAATAATAAAATCAAAATAAAATCGACAAAGAGGTCACGAGAAATAACCGGAGAGAAATTAGCGTCTTTCCTCTGCTGGATCTGTTAAAAGGAAAATTTGAAACTTTCCATAAATCTCTGGGGTGCACTAAGAAATAATAAAAGTTCTTAGAATGATCATAATACACTGATAACAGCTATACGAGCATAGCAGAGTAGGTTGGCGGTTGGAGGTAGGGTTGGGAGGTATCAGGGTTGGAGTTTACACGACTTTTGGTCTTTTTTTTTTTTGTTTCATCCCCACTTATTACATTCCAATAAAATCTGCTTGCATATAATTGACACCTGCTGTGACCGCGGCGCCGGCCCTCTTCAGTCGTCCTCCAGGCTCTCCGTCTTGATCTCGCTCCCCAGGCTGCAGCCCGCCTCTTCCGCCTGATTGGCCGAGGCCAGGCTGCCGCGGCTCCCTGCCGTCTTCTCCAGGCTGACCGCGTCCTGGGGCTCCGACAGCGCGCTGTGGACGCTCGGCTCATCCTGGAGGGACGGCGAGGGGGGGGACCAGGACACGCCGGTCAGTCTGGAGCCTTCCGCCTGGGGGCCTGCCCCCGCTGCCAGGGAGCGGCCAATCAGAGAGGTGCCCCTCTGCCCGGACGCGCCCCCTCTGGCCAGGGCAGAAAACCAGCTGGGCAGCAGTGTGGGGACCTTAAAGGGGAAAGAGAGTGACCCCACGGGTTAGATCTCCCCCGGATGCCCTGGAGACGCGGCCGTGTTGTGGAGGGAGTGACCACACACCTGGGTGGGAGAGGACAGGTCTGCTCGGCTGAACACAAACTGCCTGGCTGAAGCTCTCTTGTCAAACAAGGACACCTCGCAACCCTGTGACAAGTTATCAAAGCACCTAATGAGTCTGTTTTACAAAAAAAAGAGAAAAAGGGAGCATAGACAGCTTCTTCTTTTTCTTTTTTTTTGGCTAAGTCGCCACTCACCTGATCGGGGAAGTCGTTTCCGTCCACCTCGTCGCTGTTGGACTGACCTCCGGGACTCTGGACCTCGATCCCATGGCTTTCCAAGATGGCTGCTTCTTCAAAAACACAAACTTCATCATAGCATATCAGCTCTGGGGCAGATTGCTGCTCCTGATGCGAGCTGCTCAGAGCCAAGAATTCTGTATGCTCTACAGAAAATCCTGCACGATGCCCGGCATGTGTACGTGGTGTGGACAGACCAAAGAGACGGCTGGGACTCTAACGCAGAGGTAGACATTACCTATGTTGGCGCGCCTCTTGATGTCCTTGCGACGGTTGGCGAACCAGTTGTAGACCTTCAGAGACGTAACCCTCTCCAAATCAGACAGCTTCTTACCTGTAACGCACACACACACACAAATCAGTGTGTGTGCCTCCTCTACCTTCTTCTTTAAAATGTCATAAAAAGGTCAGGTTAGGCTTTTTTCTAACTGGCCTCCTCCCTCTACAACAGGACCTCTGCTGGCAAACATTACTGGTAGTTGTGTTGAAGAAACCGACCCATGGTGAACTCGTTTGCCCCCACCCCACTTTTTACAGAACAGGACAAGAGTCACAAAGCTTGAAAACAGACCTGGTTTCTGAATGACGGCGTTGCAGGCGGTGGCGATCTCTTCTCTTTTGGCTTCGTCGGGATACTGGTTATCGCTGAAGTAGCTGCGTAGACGCACAGGCACTCTCAGTTTCCCCGTCCCCCTTTTCCTGCCTTTCCCACGGCTCACCTCCTCCTCCTCCTCCTCCTCCTCCTCCTCCCCCTCCTCCTCCTCACCTCTCCATGACAGCCAGACACTCCTTCCTCCAGGTGAACCTGCTCCCCCGCCTCAGACGGAAGCCCCCGGGGGGCGAGCCGAAAGCAGGCGGGGTTTGGTGCCAGTCCATCACGTCCTCCAGGGCCAGAGGGGTGGCGCGCATGGCCAGAGTGGCACCTGGAGTCACACGGGTCAGCATCAGAGCGAGCTCACGCCGCGTAGGAAACCCCCGACTCATCAACAACACTTCAAAGGCCCGTTTCAGACGCATTTTTTAAACTGCGATCCACCGCAGTGGCGCTAACTTTTCACACCCCAATGAAGAACGATTCATTGCGAGGTATGCATGTATGCAATATGTAGCTCCACAGCCAAATATTAACTTTGGCTGTGGACGGGCTAAACATTTATCAGGGATGATGTGCAGACGGAATAAATATTTACATGTCGAGCAGTTTCTGAGAGCCAGACATTCATTAACATTCGAGGGTGAATGAACAAACTAGTCATGCTGGGTTAACGACGCAACTTTCCGAGTCCGAAACATTTTTACCTAATGGACTGTTACGTGTCCAGATCTGTGCCTGCTGACAGAATGTCATCTCCAGCGTTAACTCAGAGCTGTTACGTGCTCTTGTTTTTTCGTTTTTTTTTAAACTAAACGGCGTCCTCTCCAGACGGTGTGCCATTAAGACATAAAAAAATAAATACCGTAAATTAAAAAAAGGAAGAAGATTAAACTTGTATGTAGGTTCTAGTCACGCTCACACATCCTGAGCGCTTCGACCCCCTAACTGATGGTTTGGTGGTTACCGGGGTTGTTCTTTTCCAACTGGTACCATCGGAAGAAGGCCCGTTTCTTCTGCTCGCTGAGGTCCGATCCCTGCTGGAGGAGCCAGTGCGAGATCCGGCTCTGGCTGATTCCTGAAAGAGGAGGGCTGCGCGTCACTTTATGCGTCCGGCGCCTGCCCAGCTCTCTGACCTGGTGCTTGAGTGGTCGGTCACTCACCTGTTACCTGAGCCACCACAGCCTGGGAGATCCGTCTGTTGGCCAGAAAGGACTTGATCTCCTCTTTGATCAATGCGCTGTCTCTCCTACAAACAGACAAAGCACGCCACGCGTCTCATTCTCCTGCTTCAGAGCTCTGATAATAATAAAAACACGGCTGCTAAACCAGATGTGAAACGAGTGCATCTATGGCCGCTTCATGCTGCAGTGTTTTTTCTTTCCTGGCTCTCTCTCAGGTTTAATTTCATCTTCACACGTTTTCCAATCAATACAGCTTTGATTGCTGCCGTCTGGCTGCAGACTGCAGATGAGAGGCACTCCAGAACGTGTGCATTTGAGTGGGTGGTGCGTGTCGGGCAGTAATCCTCAAAGCGTATTCAGACTCGGGCTGTGCCACAGGCAAGCTGGTTGACAATCGGAGCCTCCGCTGATGCCATCCACTCCATCTAATGCCAGGACGCTCACAAATCACACCACCCTTTATTTATTTATGCAGAATGTAGCTGTCAAGTTGGTGATTCAGTCTCGGGTTAAGACGCTGATCATCCAAAACCATGCAGAAAAATGACTAATAACCTTCTCTTCTGGCTTGCAGCTAAAATTGAGAGGGAAAGAGACCGTGGGCTGTTCTTTTGAACTGAAGAAAATAATGTAAGCTGCTTCATTAGGTCATACAAGGGACAAATATTCCTCAGGTTTAGCAAGTAAGACAAAAAGTCTCTCCCTTAAGTGAATGAAACAGCTAATATTTCTTTGTTTAGTTGAACATTACAGCTAACAGCACGTTGTAAGTTAACATAGCAGCTGAAGATACTGGAAGACTTCTTTCTTTGAGTTTCTTTGCTCACAGTGAAGAAAAAAAAATAAACAAAAACACCGAACTTGTTTTTCCCATCCCAATCGGCTTGCTCCAGCTTTTAAACATTCTGCTGTGGCAGCTTTGAGTTACTCACCTCATCAAATCCTCAACCTTATCGTCAACATCTATGTCCTCTTCAGTGGCCTCAAACCCGTAACCTGCTCCGGTCACCGTGCCGCCGACCACACCGATGGGAAACCGGGGCGGCGACAGCTTCCCGTTGGTGACGGAAACCAGACCGTTCTGCGCAACTGCTGCCATCGGAAGCGGGGAGGCCACCGGGACCGGCAGAGGCGGAGAGGTGGTGTCGAAGTTGTTACTCGGCGAGAGGGAGATTCGGTTGTCGGGGAAGCTTGTCTGAGTGGAGGCGGAAGTCATGGATGAAGAGGCAGACACTGTGTTGGAGGAGGTCAAGGAAGACGAGGGGGGCAGGTAGGCGGGTTTGTGGGTCCGCTTTTGGCCATGCTGCCGGTCCAGATGCTCCAGGGTGTCCAGGGCGTGCAGGACCTCGGCGTGGGTGATTCCCGTCTTCCGAAGCCTCTGGAGGAGGTCGATCTGCTCGATGGTGAAACGAGGCTCCTCCCTCTGCTGGAACATCCTGCAGGACATCATCGTATCACTTTTAGTGGGAAGAATTTTAAAATCTGACATGCAACGCGTTCCACCTCTTGTGGACACAAGAACAATCCAGATAACCAAACCAAGGTATTACGCTCACTGGTCAATGCGAGAAAAAAAATTGACTCAGCTAATACATTTCGCAATGTCTGATCTAAATTCTGACATTTTCAACAAGAAGGGTTGTGCTGATCCCATTACACAGCTCAGCTTTCGCTGCCATGTACACTTTGTATCAGGGGTCTATGTTACTTTGGCTTCATTCCTTTCTTTTAGGACACTCGGGGAACTTTATTGCTGCTGGGCCTTTAAAAGACCTTCCTGTGTGAGTTGGGAGCTAGCCCTCCTTTTTCCTGTATTTATCATTCACAGTGAGGGACCATTTGGATTCTTGAATTCACTCTTTTCTCTTAAAAAAAAAACTAAATATGTACAACATGTCGCAGGGACAGTTCTGAGTTGTGGAGCTGGACGTAGACGGTGGTCGGTGCAGGCCAGCGCCAATGCCACCATTAGATGTGATTGTGATAAATAAAGCAACGCTGCAACATGGGGGACCGACAGAAAGATGTGTGGACCTTAGATTATTACTGCTAAAAGAAACAGGTTCAAAATATAGCCCATAAAAGAAACGCTTATGATCTTGATTTATTGGTAAAAGCACAACCAGTAAATGTACTTTTCTGTCCTCTTTGAGTCGCATCTGTGAAAAGCACCGCTGATGAAACAATCATGCCAAAAATGCCTCGCACTCGCATCTGGTAGCTTCCTGCCTGCACATTCATTCACTCACATACACGCACACACACTCACAGACAGCCTCTTCAACACTGCTCAGCAGCTGCTATCCAGATATAGAGTGCATTCCTCCAGATTCAATGAGGCTTTTATCGCGGCAGACACACTTTCTACCCCCAGTAATCATACTACGTACAGCAAATGGACCCGGTGCATTATTTGCCCTCGTTCTGAACTGTATTCTGCGGTTAGGGATTAAATATTAACCTTAAATATGTCCCAACCTTAGCACAGTGAAATGCTCTTTCTCAATGTTATTTGCATTTTAATACTTTGTGTATCCATAAACATACAGTGAGGTGTGATGGGGGGGGATAAAACTGCACCGATTACAGTCAAAGAGCTGCTGGGAGGGGTTGGGGCTGTGGAACATAAACAGAAATAAGAGGTAACACATATGTCTTAGTGCTTTTCTTTCTGGCGCAGAGAGGAAAAACAGGCAGCAGAGAATCAAAGTCAGCAAGCAGATCAGCGCTTCCAGATATAAGACAGGGAGATAGAGGGCGTGTGTGTGTGTGTGTGCGTGTGTGTGTCTGGGGGAAAAGTGCCAAGAAAAATTTACATCTCAAACAGCAAGGCTTCATACTTTCTCTCCCAGCTGCAGTGGATGACTCATGCTGTATGAAATTGGACTGATACAAATAATCTATAGAAGGCTGCAGACCTACAGCAAAGAGGCTGTTCTCCACTGGCTGCTACATTTAATCTGTGATAACATCCGTCTTCACTTCCAAATGCTGTTGGATGTTATTGATTAAACATTTTCACACACATTTTTGTGAGTGTGTCTGAAAGCTTGTTTCGTGACTTTATGACTTTATGGAATTTATGCAGGAAAAAAGGTCCTATATCTTGCAAGAAAAATCCATGAAGCAGGTGTTCATTTAAGTCCCTGTACAAATAGCCACATAACATTCAACGGGCACTGTATTTGAATAGACCTGAATTCTGTAATGTAAATAAACCAGATATTCTCATACAGCCTGTTCCTGCTGTGTAAGATGCTCTGTCTGTCTGGGATGGTCTATATTAGCTCCTTCCTCTAAAAAACCCTCCCTCCCAAATGCCCTTTGATTGGCCACAGCGCTAGACTGCAAACAGTGATGCCGAGCACCCTCTGGACGTTGCACTACCTCTTTACGGGGACATTCTCATTCATATTTTAGCATTAACCAACATCGGCCCTGTAAAGTAACACCAAGGACTTCAGTAAAGAATGGCACCGGGAATCCATCAGTGCCACAGACCTCAGAAGAATGTTCACGGCCCAACATTAAATCAGTATCTAATGAGCAGTAGCGTATCGCAGTGTCCATGTATGCTATGGGGGAAATGGGGGGGTGCTTAGTCTTCTACATCCTTTATCTGAGCAGCGGGATTTCAAGAAGTGTTTTAGTTCCCGCAAAAAAGAAGATGAGAAAGTATGTGACTCAATTCTTATTGTAAAGATAATAAACAATGACGACCAAACAGTGTGAGGATGAGCTGTCCATTTTCTCTCTATAGCACAACTACAACAGTATTAAAACACATATTTCCCCAAAGGCAATGAGCTGTTCAAGGCATCACATACCTTTCAATCCATCGTTTAATAAGTAACATAAAACTTTCTTTATTCTAGTCACAGAACCACCAGTGAAACTGGCTGGAGCCTCTTTGCCACGGCCTATCGGAGGCTTTAAAAACCTTGGGTCTAAGACCAAACTAAACTTGAAATCACATTAGAGAGATTGTATTAATACCGATTAGATCTTTTCATAATCTCTATCAGACAGGGCAGGAAACTCAGTTCAATGCGCTGCATTTCAAACTGTGATATCAGCTTCAACTTAAGCCTGGATTTTCCTCCACTTATCTGGAATTGAGTGCCACTCATATAAGGTTTGTCACACCTCAGGGGTGACGGTCCAGCAGTCCCCACTTGCTTTGATAAGAAAGAAAAAAAAAAGAGGGAAAAAAGATAACACTGGTGTGGGACAGAGAAGGCGTGTGTAGTTGCCTACCAAAGTGGGCGAAGTTTTCTCTAGTTTCATTTAATCATCGTGGATATGAGTTACGTCACCGAGCAAATATGTAAGGAACACGATGGTTTTTTTTGGGTCTATTTTTAACAGATGTTAGCAGGTCTCCGAGTCTTCGCAATAAAGCGGCGGAGAGCTGACCCAGTGAATGTCTGACTGAGAGGCCCTGATAGGAAGGGAGCGCCAAAGAGCTGGGCCGGTCCTGCAGCGATCGCAGGCTCTGCACGACTGCATGCAAGATGTCTGCTATGGAGTGTCACAACTCCAAATGAAAACACACAAACAATGCGGTGCCGCAGGAATGATTGCAAAATGGGGCCTTTTGAATGAAACAGCAGAAGCTCCGGGGCAGATAACAGCCTCTGTAGGTGTTTACATGTTATGAACTTGACCTTTGACTTCCCATTGATAAAAGAACTTCCATGTATGCTATGGGGGATATGGGGGTGGTATATAATAGCATATCTTTCTCCAGCCTTGATAAACAACATTTCATACATAGTGCGGTTCGGTATATGGTCTCCTTATGCAAAAAATTGTAGCTGCTTTCCAGAGTGAATGGACCCTCCTTACCAAACGTGGCATAAACTCTGTCCAGGTTGCAGACATGTGCCAGCGGAGCTTTAGAACAGCGGGAAACTTTTAAACTGGGCACCCCAAATAATGTTTTAAAAAAGAAAAAAAAAAAAAGAGAAGGAGGTCCGAGATGACAAAATAGTCCCCGACACGTAAAGTTGTCTTTCTTAACATTAACGACTTCCATGCCGAATTATAATACATTCATTTCTGCTTCAAATAAATTATGTCGCCCAATGACAATTCTGTTAGAACGAAAAAAAAATACGATGCCACGGAATGTGTGGTGAAACTGCATATGTAGTTCGCCGGTACGGCGCAATAATGCCGTTCTAAACATGCACTTCTCGACGTTTAACGAGCATCGTCAACCTGAAAGAAAAGTTGACATTGTGTTTGATTGAGTGTTGCTTTTAAACTGCATACATGTCAAATAGCAGCCCTGCTCTTTCATCGTGCAGTCGAGATAGTTTCGGTGGCGTGAAACTAAACCGCCAAGGAAACCGCAACGACACTAGTGATTTTTTTTTAGAGTTTACAGTTATCCCCATAAAGAGGGGAAAAGGGAAACGCGTAGGGCTAGCAGGGACGTTTGAAGACGGCAGTAGTTGTAACTGCCATTCTTACCTTATTCCAGTCCGAGAGCCTCCACAGATGTTTGTTTTATCATATATCTACCGCCTCGGGGCGCAGGGACACACGGACACTGACACTTTTCCCAAAATGTCTCCCCTGTTTCTAATTGAGCTTCAATCCGCCGTCAGACAGATTCGCCTTTTGTCCGGCAGACAGGCGCCATGTTGATAAAATGACGCAAGGACCGATGGGAATCGCAGTTCAAAGAGTTTGGTGGAAGTGTAAAACAACGACAAAATAAAGAAGCTACGTGAATAAGGCTGCCAAAGTACTCACAGAACAATTCCACCTATTATCACGTTGTATTCACTGTAACTTTTAGTTCGACTGTGGGTTCTCAGGAACCCAGATTATCACAGCAAACGAATTACCTGGATTTTTTCAAAAAGTCATTTTTTATTCTACATTTTAATTTGGCCAGTGTTGAGGAATGTGGCAGAGATTCAATTCTGTGTTATGGAAAATGATTAAGTAAAGGTATAGGATGCAATATTTTGTCTGCTTGAGATGAATTATTCACTCAATGTGCAAAGGCAGCTTCAGCAACACTTTTCCATTTAGTGCTAAATAACAAGATTCCATTTTCATTGCACACGTCGTTGCCCTGTTAATCCACATTCTGTCGATCTAATCACGCATAGTTCTCCCATGTGTGTTGCTCCCACTTCACCTGCAAAACAGCAGAGCGGGAGCCGCTCTGCATCCTGTGCACTTGAAGAAAAATCTATTCGTGATCAATAACATCCTTTTAAAAACTGCTTTGACTCAGGTGGCTAAAAACAAGGGGTCAGAACTCTTTGATCCAGAATGCCACATGGGAGTCCAGAAGTGCACACACCCAGTTGTGCCCTCTTGTCATTCCAGTGTCATAGAGTTTGGCTTCTTGCCGGGACATCAGTTATTGGTTTACACAGGTGAGGGCACTCTCACCAGCCTAGAAAAAAGTTTAGCAAAAACTGTTCCGTCCATTATCCAATCAGGTTTTCCCCATATCCTCCAAAGGCTTTCTACTGTAGAATGACAAAAACTAATTTGAGGACAATAATAAAAGACATTAGTTAGCTAAACTTCCTGGGCCTCTGTTTTACCGAGTCGTCACTTTAAACCAACAAGCAGGTAAACCTTACCTTAGAAGTAGGACACTTTAGAATTACAAATTAATTATTAGTCTTAACTTAAGTTGTCCTTCGATTGATCACACTGCTAATGTATTGACGGAAATATCCAAAATGCATAGGTGGACAAGGATAGCATATTATTTATTTGTAAAAAAAAGTTGGTCTACAGATCAGTATAAAACATGACTTACATCTAACAGGTAAACAGTACAAACAGGAGATAGACAGTGAGAGTAAGAGGTGTTTGTGTGTGTTCAGGAGGGAACCCAGATGTTGCCGTGCATGTCGGGGGCTTGGCTGTATGGAATATTCCAGATCCATGGCTGGTCTGAGAATCAGAGAGGGAAAAGAGGTCATTCACTTTAAAGAGACGTTTCAAATTAGTTCATGGGTCGGTTTCTTTATTTCCACATATAAGAAAAAAAGAATTGTGTGTATTGACATGTGTTGGGATTCACACTTAATTTTCACAAGATCCTCTGAGAATATGGCAGTCTACTCACAAATTCAACCACAACAGCTCCTTTGTGTCAGCACTTGCTAATTAGGTGTCTCATAAAATATTTCAGTTTGTGCCTGGAGTCAAAACACTTTGCTGTCAGTCAATTTTCCATCCACTAGTTGCAGACAGGTTCCCTCATGCAGAAATGTTTGGAATTTTGAAAGAAAGGGGAGGGGGGGAAATCATCGTTTCTGCCATATTTTCATTTTTGAGCCGAAAGATTTTTGAAAAAGAACTTAAATGTTATCGAGACAAAAAGTAGAAACAAGATCTTTAAACCAAATTCTGAGGATTTGGTTTAAAGATCTTGTTTCTATACGACTCAAAACTATCCATCTGTTCCCTGAGCAACTTCATGTGTTTAATCCATAGCAGATATCTATGGTAGAAGGTAAACGTTCTACCCAAAAAGGAAGGGAAAAAAGAGCTATAAGCCGTAAGTGATCCTGAGACTAAAGTGTAGATTGGATGGAACAATCATATGAGACATATGAAAGTAATTTATTTTCCCATTTTTCATAGAGATGGCAGTAGGACAGTAGGTCTGGCGAGGAAAATCCTTTCCTGATCATTCTCCTGCGGGATCAGGTCCAATCATAATCATGGAATAACTGTGTGCTATCAGGGAAAAAGACCCTGGTTGGGTGCACGGAACAATAGGTGCGACACTTGGTCTGCCGCCCTCCTTACCCTGACGTGCCACTTGTTCTGAAACAGGATAAATCTGGTCTTATCAGACCACATGACCTCTTTCCATTGCTTCAGAGTCCAATCTCTGCTGCCTAACAAAGCGAAGATTTCACTGATAATTGATTTCAATGCAGTCCTTTAGTCCCAAGACACCGTTTCCTCTCCTTGAGGAGAGCACAATTTATTTCAGGAAACAATTGGGTGATCAGAATCGATGATTTTTGCCTCAAATGTGACGGTTCCTGGTTTTAATCCTACATTCTTAACTCAGCTGATAGTGCCAGCGCTCTTGTGAGGTGTTTTGTTTGCGGTGCTTTGACAATGGGAGCTTGGAGTCTACTTATTCAGACAGTGAAAGCGTGTAAGAGGGATGAGTCTGTCACGGGGAAACGGCGTGGCTGCACCGATGCGGACTATTTCTGTGCATTTTCAACACTTCCTTTGGCTCCCATTTCCCAGGCTCTGTATCGGAAAAAGCATTCAAAGAAAGGAAACGAATATCTCCCAAATTGTAAGCTCTGTATCTGGGTTTTGGTTGGACTTAAAAATAGCTTGATCCGAAGGCCTGTGCAGCACAGTTTGATATGATTCCGAATACGTTTCACGCTCCTTTCCTCTTGGTACTGGAGAGAGCTGCTTATATTTATTTTAGAGTCTGTTTCAGACTGGATAGACAAACCAGCCATAAATGAATTCAGGCAAGTGCGGAGGTAAAAACAAAAAAAACAGTGAGACATACATTTGAATAGATTTATGCCAGAGGGGAAAAACCGTACCTTTTGGAGAGTAGCTTGAAGGGGGCAGGTCAAAGGGTACCAGGAAACGAGAGGTGGCCGAGGTGACAGGATATGGATTTTTATCAACAGGGAATGTCTTCATGTTCTGCAAGTGGGTGGAGACGGTACAGATCACTGCTCCACACTCCAGCTACTCAACTGATACGATGAATCTGTTTTTGGCGTCTCACTCACGAAGGCTGACGGCGCGTAGAAGACTCCCAGCTCATAGGAGCGCACCATCACCTGCGTGTTGTTCTTTTCCAGCGCACCCCACGCGGCCTTGGATAGGTTAGCGCTGGTGGAGCGTGCAGGGGTGAGAAAACGTGAGCGCGACAAGTCCGAACCGGCCCGAAAAAAGAAAAGAAAAAAAAAGGGGCAAAACATCTCACCTTGTGACGAGGAACCAGGCCAGCTGCGAGAAATCTGGAGAAGCCCTCATGTAGGTCTTGATGTGCGGCATGGCGTGACTTCTCCCTGTAGCGTCTGCCTTCCAGCGGCTTAAAACACACACACACACACACACATTCCACTGACCAGTCTGGTTTAAGTGAAAGTAAAGAACTGGACGTGGTGCTTAGCGGTTCTCCTGGTAAATACAGAGTTATAGAGAGTAACTTAGACGTTGGACGTCATGACTGATGCAAAGCTTGGCCTTTTTAGGAGTCACCTGGCCCTCACGCCAGCTGTGACTGGCAGTTTGCGGAGCGCCACGTCTCCCCAAGCGTTTAAAAACTGGCCCACCCCGTTTCACACAACTAGGTTTTTAAGGCGACGGGAAAAAATAATAAAGCGGCAGCCAATCTGAGGCGACAGCTTACGGGAAGGAAGTGACTTTTCATTAGTGGAAGTGAACTTACTGGAAGTAGGAGTGGAGCCAGAGCTGTTTCTGAGCTGTCTGGATGCTGTACGGAAGAGAGCCGCCGGCTGGAAAAAAAGCAAGAGATAAGGATCCATCAATATGACCATCGTAGTATCAAATGATGACTACAAATGTAGGGACATTGTATAAAATGAGGAAAACACATGAGGACCCACCTGGGTACCCTTCTAAACTTGTCCTCACGTCCTCTACCGATGGATATACCTGCGAAAGAAACTCCCCGTTAGCTTCTCGCCCCAGAAATTCTCAGCTTTTTTTATCTTGAAGTCAAACTGTGTGGATTTGACTTTAAAACATGGCAGTTAAAGGCTGATTTTCAGAGCTCAAACTGGGAGGAAAAAAAAACACACCCTTATGGAGGCTTCATGTTTTCAGAAAGAAAGAAAAAAATTAAACGAATGCGCTTTCTGGTCATACAAATCATACAAAACTCGATGAAGTATTTAAGGGATGTGAGTTGCTGTTATCTGAAGAGAGCCAAGCACAATGAGAGGAAGGACTAGTTCAGAAAAACTGATCTCACTCCAAGGACAGAGAAGGCAGGTGGTTAGAACTGTCTTTTTATCTCTTGCGCAGAATCTGACTGAACGTTCCACTGTTTAGAAACTGTCCTTATCTCTGTTGCACAGAGTTTGACTGACCATGCCATTTCCACTGGTAAACACCAAAGAAGTGTCAGAAGTACTGAGTGCGAGCGGGGCCGCACAGAGCGGCCCTGTGCTCTGTGCGGCGTCGCTCTCGCTTGTGCAGGATTAACAAACTGTGTCTTATCTCCTCAGGAAAAGACTCCACCTGTTACGTTTTTCCACCCCAGCCCTTTTTTTTCCCACCCTTTTTTACAACATTTTTACATTTTCAAATACGAACCAAATGCATGGGAGGGTCCGGGCGAAGGGATGACTTCCCAAGAGTGGTGAGAGTGCGCTGAAATTCCCCCGCCACCCACTTGGTCTTATCCAGCCCCATGGAGCCGATGCTGGAGAACTGGCCAATCACAGGCCACTTTTCCTCTTCAGGAACAGGACTTGTGTGCTCAGACAGCAACTTAAAAAAAAGGACAGCGCGGGAGGAGAGGGTGCAAAAATTCAGGTAGGGTTCGATCTGATCTTTAATAGCATGTGTTGGCATCTCAGATTAGCTTTTTTCTTTATATTTTGCATGGCTGCAAACTACAGTGTAAAGAATTCTTGTAAAAAACCCACAGGGTTTGACGCTCGTGAGAAATTTCCAAATGACACTTAATCATGCTAACGTAAAATGAATCTTTTCCACAGTGTCTATGCTGCGTTTTATTCAACTTTCCCAGAAATATTATGGGGCCTGATCGCTTGGACGGACATTTAAAGTAAACAAGAGAATAAAAAGGGAAGATTACGTTAAAAAAAGAATGGAAGTCCTTACCTTTCTCAGCCTCAGGTGACCCCAGCGTTCCATGTCTGGACCCACGTACCTCCCTGGGGTTGAGCCTACCAAATACACCCTGAAAAACCGACCAACACAAGAGTGAATTACGCTCGGACGTAATTTTTTTTAGTTTTTAGTTTTTTTTATCACAGCTACAGCTGTAGCTGCCTGCCTGCTTACCTCGTCTCTGACAGGTCGTGCTCTTTGATGCGTTGTATCCACTCTTCGAGTTCTGGCGCACGGTACGACGCCAGGTACTCCAGCAGGTCCTTCTTGAAGAAGGTGGGCGACTCGCCTGCGCTGGGACTGCTCCCCTTTGGTAACCGTGGAAAAAGGGGGCTCATCCACATCCTAGTTGGGGGTCAAATAGATTACGGGATAGATCTTCATGTAAGACTATCAAAAACGCTAATGGTAGTCAGTGTGAGGAGTAAACAGTCAGTAAGGACCCACCCCTGTGTCTTCTGGTACCAGTCCGCTCTGATGAGGTTGGAGGTGAGGATGATGACTCTGAAGCCTTCCTCATACCACAGTAACATCATCTTTCTGAGCAGGGACACGCAATCAAGAGCAATGAAAGTCATTGTTTTCAATTCAACGTCACATCCTGCAACTTACAAGCTTGGAAATATGTTGCTGATTAATTTTTGCCAACTCACAACTGAAGCTAAACTAATAACACTGAGCCAGCGACAAGGAAAAAAGATGCTCACGTGTGGTGTGTCCCAAAAGCAATGTCCAGCTTGGCCTGTAAAAGCAAATTCAGCATTTAAAGATTTTGTTTTTTTTAACAAAGCAATTCATGCGTTTAAGATTAATTTGTTTTCTGAATGCAGAGCTGTTTGCCTTTTATATTTTTGGGTCACAGACCCAGCTCAGAGACATAAATAGTTCTCAACCAGGGACTTGTCTAAGGATTTTACATTAACTTGGAAGGCTACCTTTCCACAGGAAGGTGACAACAAGTTAAACGATAAACAAACAAATGTGGAAACATCAGTAAAGAGTCAAATAGCCTCCGGTATGTGGACAAATACAGCACTTTCTGAGACGGAATATGGTCTCTTCAAAAACAATTCAATCCCAAATGATCCTGAACAAAATTAACTCACAATGCTTTCTTATTTCAATCCGGCCTCTTACTATCAAAAGTTGCCTTCACAAGATCCTGTACATACAAGTGAACAGTTACCTGGCAGAAGCGAACATGTGGAAAGGGCTTTGCCTGCTGCAACAGCCGCGCCTTGGCCTCCCGCTTATCCCCATGGACAATCAGGACCGGGAGATCCCTGGGAACAAAAAACAAACCAAACAAAAAAAATGGAAGCATTAAACTGGACACACATCGATACTAAATATTTTGGTGCATGCCTGTCAAAAAGGTTCCCTTGTTTGGATTGGATTGAGTTTCATCAGACTGCTGGAATTAGTAGAATATTTTGACTAGAGAAAATTAGATGTTAGTGGTAATGAAATGGTTGCAAAAAAACACAAGAATTACCTAAACTCTGGTGGGTACTGCTTCACCATCCATGCGATATCAAAGCAGTAGTTAAACTATAAAGACAGAGAGAGAGGGGGTAAATAATAATACTTTTATCTAAATCTGCCATAGCCATGTCTGCAGCCATGAGTTTATGTTTCAGTAAAAAACAATGGGAGATAATAAGCTAAATTTATCCTGATTGGTCTGCAACACGTTGAATTTTTTTGTCTTTAAGAGAAACTCTGTCTGGTTCATGCTCACCTGAACTGACTCTTTCAAGGTTCCGAATAACGGCGACAGAATGTCTGCATGGAAGAAGAAAGTTTCAGTCAGACCACTAAAGACTGAGTCCTACAGTTAACTCCAGGAGCCTGTCACTGGAGCAGTTCCACAACCTGTCAATCTAAACAGTTCCTAACAAATGAACAAATGCAATGGCCTGTGATGAATACCACTCTCACCTCGAATGTGCAGGGCTCCGCTGTTGTACTTCTTGTCCAGACCTGTCACTTTATTGAGGTAGAACCTGAAGGTGTCATTAAGACAAGGAATAGAGGACTCGAAGAAGTCCTCTGGCTCATCGATATAGTAGAGCCGGCCGTGGGGACTCGGAGGGCGCTCGCTCTCCACCTTTGTTTTTTTCGTCTTCGGGCTCGAGGGCGCCTCTTTAGGCAAAATGCTCTGACCACCACCCTTTACATCTCCATCGTCATCGTCGCTGTCTGACAGGGCCCAGCCTGCGCTACCTGTAGACTCCTTTTTCCGCTTCCCAGCCAGTGAGGGGCTACTGGTATACTTTACTGGGTTCGATTGGTTTGTTGCAGCAGACTGTCTGGCCTCAGAGCCAATGACGAGTGAAGACACAGGGGTTCCGACCGGCTCTGATTTCACCTCCCCGGGGTCAGTCACGGGCTCCACAGAGGCAAATCTATGGGGACTGTCGCTGGATTTAGAGGGCTGATGGGACTGAGATATCTTAGTCCCAGAAGGAGGAAGAGCCTCATCGTCATCATCACTGCTGGAGATGGTCCACTTCCCATGGTGGCTGTCTTGAGACATGCCTAAAGAGACAGAGACCAGGGGAATTAGAGGGTGAAACCACAAGTCCATTGAATAGCAATTAAAAAAGATCTGTGGTGCTTTAATACTAAACATTTATTTTAAAGGTTAAAAGGTAAAAGAACAGCAGGCAAGCGTTTAGTTTCAGTCTTTCCCTCCATGTTATGTGATGGATCATTTTAAACAATACAAAAAATACTCTAACCTGAAAACTAAAGTGGAGAGACGAAAATACTTTAATACTTCTAATAAAAAAAAGGAAAACATTAAACGGTAAAAAAAAAAAACGCCCCCCTACATGAACAGCAGTCCTGTAACAAAAGCTGGTGCGCAAGTCGTGATTTAAAGAATTCAGGCACATTTTAAACACAACAAGACCATGATCGGCATGAAAAGAAAGAGTCGGTTACGTAAGCATGAACGTACAACTCATTTATTTCTCCAGTCTATGGGAAATAAACTTGAATAGCAACATAATGCCATTGTTTGCTTGCTTGTTTTGTTTTTTGTTTTTTTTGTTTTTTGGGGGGATGGCGGAAGTGATGTGCATGCAGAGCTTTTTGTTTACTTTACCAAGTCAGATAAGTGAGCAGCGGCGCAGGTTAAATCCTGTGTGGACGTAGAGGTTCTACAATCCTCCGCAATCAGACTATGTGCACAGCGCGCCACAAACACTGCACTGTGCAGGAGCAGGTGCCCATGAACAACCAGTCCGGCTAGAAACACTTCCATTTTAAAAGTTCCGTCAAAGTACGACCATAATAAAGAAATCATTAACTGTTATCCCACATATACTGTATTGTTCTTTATTTATCACCTTTAATTATCTATTTATTTCTGTCTTACTTATTTCAAATGTTGGTGAAATGTGATAAAATGCATGTACTCCTATTATGCATTTGAATTTTTATTTATAAGGATATCTGAAAATGAAACCTGTGTAAAAAATGTATTCCTCTTTCTTTTTGACAACATGCAGATACATTGTACACCCTTTTAATTCTATACTGGGGTGTACCCCACCTCTCGCCCATTGAATATTGGGGTAGGCTCTATTCCCCCCTGTGACCCCATTTGGGAATAAGCGGTACAGAACATGGATGGATGGAGGTCAAGGTAGGATTTTAGGAATAATCAAAATAGGAGCAGCATTAGCAGACCGGAAGAACAGAGGCCATGTCCCTGTAACCTAAACAACACACATGACAGGAACATTTTCCCCTGGTCACTGTGAATTTGGAGTGCAGCGGGAATCAAAGGGAATGCAGTTGCCCGGTTTTAAAAAGTTGTTACCACCCCTCATTTCTTCACAGATTGCCAAGAATATGGAAGATGTGTTTATTGAAACACGTGCAAACCTAGTTTTTCTTCTAATTTCTTTTGAATGTCTTCAAGAACAGTTCTCAATAGCCAATGGAAGAACATCCCAAAGCTTTTTCTAAATATGTTGGATGCCTTTTCTCTGCAAAGATGTCCACGGAATGTCCGCAAATTGTAGAGTCTGGCCTTTTCTGAATGTGGTCAAATCCAGCAGAAATCCAGCTGTAATGCAAATGCTTAATGCTTAAAGCTCAAAGAAAAAGGTGAGAAAAAAAGCATATAGGTTGTGTTCCACATATTCTACATGTTTTGTCTCCCCGTCGCTAGGTGGCACTAGAGCCCCTCTGCGCAGTTGGTTACTCCTCATACAGAGAAATGAAGTTTTTCTTCCCTGTCTCTGGGGTGCGTGGTGTGGTGCTGAGTGTGGTCTTGCGTGTTGGATCACTTCACTGAGGTCTCCCAGTCGGTGTCAAGTCGTTTCCAACCGGATAAAAGAAAGATCTGACAGGATGGCGTTAAACCTAACCATCAACACAAACAATCCACCTCTAGGTGAGCAGCCTGAATGGAAATAAGTGGCATTAATGCCCCGGTGAGCCTCTGACCGTGCACGCTGCTTGTGACAGCAGCCGGGCTGGTTGTAGCTGTTAGCATGTGTCATCACAACAAATACGGGGAGATGTTCTGTTTCTAGCCGCACGAAAATGATTGACTTCCTCCTCAAATATAAGCACTGACTCGTCCAGTATGACTATTATTGCGTTTACAGAAGTAGCAGTGATAAACAACGGAATTAAACCTTTATTTGGGCTGTCATGGAACTAGTCGAATGAAAACGATAGCTTCTTACTAAATTAAAGAAAATGCATTGGCCATGCAATAAGTGTTTCTCGGCATAGAATAGTTTTCCTGGACTAATATCTGCGGTGAAACATGTTTGGACGGTATGTTCGCGTGAGATGGAGGTTTGTGTGGTTTCCTTATTTTGACTGATGTGCTCTCCTCTTGCTATGTTAGCTTAAGTGTAGTCGTGGCACCCGTCAAACCTGAACATGAGTGCATTTTGTGAAAACGTGTTTGTTTAAAAACAAAACAAAATTTAAAAAAGCTTCGTTTAACATTAGGCTGCGGCATTAAATGTTAGACCCATAGGACCTTATATTTTACGGTCTTTGTAAACTTGGAAATGACACAGCGAGTACTCAGATTTCAATGGGACTTGCTATAATTAAGCTAACCCTGGTTAGCTTTACTCTTCTTTACATTTTCATATGCGGTGTTATAAGTTGGTCAAAGTGTACAAATGTAGGCACACCTCACAGTTGAAATTTTCGGAATCTCTCTCTCTTATATATTACAAATTCTTGTACTTTGTAAGGCTAATTGAATTGCTAGCCTCGGTAGTAGCTAAAACAGCACCCTCTGGTGTTCATATTGGAAACAACAGGCTGATGCAAGCGTCCTGAAACGTGGAATTCAGGACGGGTTGTGCACCGTCTCTGTCCTAAACCTGTTATGTTTCGTTTTATTGGCACCTCCTTTTTGCTTTTACTGGAAATGATTTTTCCTCGGTGGTTGTGCTTACTTAAAACAATGACCTTCAGGCTATGGCTTTAAACCAGGTGTGCACAAAATGTGCCGAGTTACTGGTTTTTGTTGGCAAAGTCTGCTTCCTGGAATTATTGTCATGTGTGTTTTGCACTAATCACCTGTTGAGCTTCTTTTTTTTTTTAAAGCTCTCATTTACTAAGTTCTCTTTTTTTTGTCCAGCCAGTTTGTCCCACCTTTGCTCTGTTAAAGGAAAAATGACCCAAACAATGTGTTCTTCTTGCTTCTGCAGGGGCGCTTTTGGCTGCCGAGCATGTGAAGAGCTCAGTGCAGGTGTCGGTGGAGGAAGGCAAAGACACCAAGCTGCACATCTCAGAGTAGGACACAAAACTATCCAGCATGATTGAGCAAAAAAAAAAAAAAAAAATTCTGTTAAAATGGATGACTCAGCCGTTGCTTTATATTTCCACCTTCAGTTCTGTCCAGTTCAACGATGCCAACTCCATATGCCGCTACCTGGCCCGGGTGGCTCCTGCTCTCGGCCTTTATGGAGCCAACACCATGGAGCAGACAGAGGTGTGTGTGTACGTGTGTGTCTTTACACCTGTCTGAGGTGTTTTGTACACGCTCAGGAGTTCTGATCCTGGTTTGATTATGCGTCCTCAGGTGGATCACTGGCTAGAGTTCAGCGCTCGCCGTCTTTGCGATCAGCCCAGTCTGACTGGAGCTCTTGGTGAGCTGGACAAGGCCCTGTCTCTGCGGACCTTCCTGGTTGGACACGCCCTCACTCTGGCTGACCTGTCTGTGTGGGCTGCCCTCAAAGGTAAGCTTACAGCCAGGATGCACTTGTTTCCATTGCATTCCTTTGTCAGCTGCGCTTGTTCTGAGGTTCAGTGTTCTGTTTCTTTTTTGCGTAGGTCACAACGAATGGCCAGGCCAAGGCAGTTCTTTCCCCCACATCAGCCGCTGGTTCTTCTTCTTGAGCTCACAGGTTCCCTTCTCAGTCGTGGGGAAAAAGTATCCCAGCAAGAAAGCTCCGATGAACAAATCAAATGTAAGATATCTTTTGTTTTTCTTTTTATTGTTCCTGTTTTTCCAGTTTTCATTGTCATGTGAAAAAGAAAGCGCACACCCTTTATTCCGGTTTAAAAGGCCAGATTGTTTACAAGTTTAATATTTTAAAGAAATCTGCGAAAACAATCTTCCCATCAGGCACTGTGTCTGAATGTTAGCTTAAGGTCAAATTTTGCAAATGTTCAAAGAAACTGCTAAAAAAAATTCAATTTTGGCATGTAAAAGAAAAACACAAGATATCTGGAACAATGTCTTCTCATCACATGTGGAGCTGTTTGGTCATAAACGCATAAAAACCTATAGAAAAAAAACAAATGCAAAAAAAAAAGCCAGTTATCCCCAACACAGCAGCGAATCTGCATTAGATTGTCTGAAAAAGAAAAAGGAGCGGTGCAGCTGAAGTTGAAACCTTAGATTGCTAAACACCTGGGGCGAGACAGTTGGCGAACTGTGAAAAGACAAATGCCGCAAACTTAATGAACTGAGGCAGCTTTCACAATCTCTGACACACTGATGCCGTCATTCAGAAAGCCGACAGTTCCAGTTATTCTGCCGATTAAAAATTAATGAAAGAAAGAGATGTCAACACGCTGCTGAATCTTGAGAGTTGTAGTTATTTTTCAGTGTGTGTTTACCACTGGTTGAGAACCAGCTCATTCATCGTGTGGGTCGGGGTTCCTGATTATGTTTGGTCCTCAGTCGGACGAGAAGAAGCAGGATGTTGGGAAGTTTGTGGAGTTGCCGGGAGCAGAGGTGGGCAAAGTGGTGGTTCGATTCCCCCCTGAAGCCAGCGGGTAAGGATTGCCATCAGAGTTCCAAGAAAGCTCCAGGTTTATCTTTTATTTAATTAAATTTTTTTAAATTCTGATAGTTTTATTGACCTCATTCCCCCCCTGTGAGCAGATATCTGCACATCGGTCATGCCAAGGCCGCCCTCCTCAACCAGCACTACCAGGTGACATTTAAAGGCAAACTCATCATGCGCTTTGATGACACCAACCCTGAAAAGGAGAAGGAGGACTTTGAGAAGGTGAGGTTTTCCACGAAACACGAACGAGTTGCGTCATCCTAAAAGGAAGGGTAAACGAAGCTGTGTCAACAATCAAAAAATGAAGAAGCACATCGTTGTCCATTTCAGGTCATCCTGGAAGATGTGGCCATGCTCCAGATCCGTCCGGACCAGTTCACCTACACCAGCGACCACTTTCCCATCATCATGAAGATGGCGGAGCAGCTGCTCCAGGAGGGCAAAGCCTACATCGACGACACGCCCCCCGAGCAGATGAAGCAGGAGCGGGAGCAGCGGGTGGAGTCCAGATGCAGGAGCAACAGTACGCCCCCCCCCCCCCGCCGCCACCCCGCGCTGGCCAGAGCCGCCCGGCGCGCACCACTAACAGTCTTCTCTCCTCTGCAGCCGTGGAGCAGAACATGAAGATGTGGGCGGAGATGAAGGCCGGGACGGAGCTGGGCCAGACCTGCTGCATGAGGGCCAAGATCGACATGGCCTCCAACAACGGCTGCATGAGAGACCCCACCCTGTACCGCTGCAAGAACGCCCCCCACCCCCGTACCGGAAGCAACTACAAGTACTCTACTTTAATCTGTCCGGGGGGGAGGGTCCTAAGGGATTTATGGCAATTTTTTTAGAGACGCAAACAATGATTTGTTATTAATCTGCGCTGACGTACAGATTGGAAACCATGGCCTTCTTAGATTTAGGTCCAACCTGAAAACCGCTGAAATACACATGAACTTTTTCAGTAAAAGTCAAATCTGATCAAAACATGGAGAAAGCCGTGTGCGTTTGGCCTTTAAATGTCAGTTGAAGTAGCATTATTTATTTTATTGCATTATTCTGCAAGATGCGTCAAGCGGGACTCATATGAGTGAGTGAGTCATATCAGCCATGTGACATTGTAGCCGGTACACTGTAAACCCTAACCCCCCTCCTGTCTCCGTTCACGCTGGTTTTTGGTTGCTGGACCTGGATTTAACCATAACTCCTGATTCATATAGGAACATTTCAAACATGTCAACGTTATCTGTTGTATTATGTTTCCCAAAACATAAAAAAAAAAATTAAAAAGGGAAAAAAGTAATATTTTGGTTGAATGTGGCACATTACTGAGTATTGTTCAATATGCAGACACTGATTCTTGAAACTGCTAAAGCCTCCCCCTCCTGCCCCCTCCAGCGTCTACCCCACATACGATTTTGCCTGCCCCATCGTGGACAGCTTGGAGGGCGTCACGCACGCTCTCAGGACCACCGAGTACCACGACCGCGACGACCAGTTCTACTGGATCATCGACGCGCTGCGTCTCAGGAAGCCCTACATCTGGGAGTACGCCCGGCTCAACCTCAACAACACCGTGCTGTCAAAGAGGAAGCTCACCTGGTTCGTCGACCAGGGCTACGTCGACGGATGGTAGGTTTTTCTTAAGCTGATCTGGTGTGATGATTTATGCTTTTAAAAAAAAAAAAATTTGATTCTTTTCTCGTAATCTTCGTCTCGCCTTGTATTCCAGGGATGACCCTCGGTTCCCGACTGTAAGAGGAGTCCTGCGCAGAGGCATGACCGTGGAGGGTCTGAAGCAGTTCATTGCAGCTCAGGTACATCCCAGATGTTTTGTCAGAAACTAGTTTATGCACTTCATAGAAAGCCTGTTGAAATGTAAGGTTTTGAGATAAACTACTATCATCTGTGCCTCAGCAGACATGTTTATTTTTTTCTTTCTTCTTTTTAGGGTGGATCGAGATCAGTGGTGAACATGGAGTGGGACAAGATCTGGGCCTTTAATAAAAAGGTGCGATTTAAAAATACTGTCTGAAAAAAGCAACAAAAACTAGGATTCTAGTTGTTATCTTTGCTCGGTTTTTGTTAAAGTCCATTCGGCTTTGCTGCTGCAGCAGGAGCAAATGCAGAAAAGGTGTTTATTTGGTTCCTTTCTCCACCACGAGACAGAGTCTTGGCTTTTCAAATGAAATGCACCCTAATAGGTCAAACCTGTTTTCTCCTAGTTTCATAAGTGTTAACAGTGCACAATGGGGAAATATTTGAGTCCCTATCAACTTTTAAATTGGACAAGGAAAAACTCAGATAAAAAAAGATGAGTTCATGGTGGATTAAGTGACTGAATATTTCCCATGTCCCATTTCTTAGCAATAAGCCCACATCATCAGCCCTCGCCTCCCATGCTGACAGTAGGCATGAGGCGTTGGTCTCGATATGCTGTGTTTGGCTTTCTCCAAACATGCTGCTGGGCATTGTTACCAAACAGATCCGCGAACGAAATGACGTAATTCTAGACGTCTTGTGGTTTGTTCAGATGTGACTTTGCAAACCTGAGCCGTTCTGCTATGTTTGTTTTTAAAAAGGGGGATTCTATTACAACCCTCCCGACAAGCCATACTGGATCATTCTTTAGTAACTTAGATGTTGTGAGCTCTTTTTTTCTGTTGATGTTTTGGCAGTTTCCGTGATTAGTAAGAACAGCCTGACATTGGGGTAAGCTTCAGTTTTACAGTTTCAGAGTTGTCCATTTGAGATTCCACTATTCAGATCCGGTGAGGAACCAGATAATTTTCTCCCAGTATATAAAGGATTTGAACTAAAACGGGGTGAACGTTTTTGACAGAACTTCAGTTGTCTTAAGCTAGTTGCGCCAACTACACCCATTAACATCTTAATTTGATTGTTTTTGGTCTTAGGTCTGTTGAAAAGAAGCAACTGTGTTTATTCCCCCTCTTAAAGCATTACTACAGGTGCGAGTGTATGCTTTAATTTTACAGGTGTCCAAATCGAAATACCTGAGATAAACAAACTTAAGTTAGTGACCGTTATGACGGCTCGACTCAAGTGTTTTCAAATTGCAAATGTTAGCCTGCTGAGGGTAATGAAGTCAATCGTCCAAATCGAGGCACACAATTTCTATACAGTGAAAGGGTAAATGTCACACAAAGACCACCATATGATAGTGTATTTAATGAATGAGTATTGCATGACCTGACAGGCTGAAGACCAGTGTCTGTTGGCGTCACTGCTAGCATGGCTTCCAACCGCTTAGCTCTCGTCATTCCATCCCACGCTTCCACCTCCTCTCCCCTGCCTCATCCCTACACTCGCATCCCTCTTATTATTTCCCACTGAAAAAAAGCAGGTCCAAAGCCTCATTTTGTCCCACAAATCTGCTTTGTGTTTCCATTTTTAACGTTGCTTCCTCCGTGTGGTTTTCATTGCTGGCACTCGCTGCTTCATCCCAGTCGGGCAGAAAGTTCTGAATGCGTAGACAGAAAGAAATTATAGGTGTTAAAATGCAAATACTTCAAAAAAACAACAGCTTTTGAACCTTGTGGGTTTTGAAGTAGTGGCTAGCAGAATAAATCGTTTAAATGTCTGTGGTTACGAAGCAAGATTCCGTTTAAAAAAAAAATTAAATCTACGTGTCTTTAGCTGTTTTTTTAGAAACGTAAATAAAGTATTATTTATTTACTTATTCTTTTTTTGTGATGGTCAAATCAGTAAAAGACTTTTAGAGTCAAGGCTGGTTGTCACTGCTTTTTTTTTTCCAGTTCAGTTTGAGCATAGAAAGTTGGGATTCGGCTTCTGCCCAAAGTCAGTGCTGCTGTCAGTGTTGCTGGCCCCGTCACCTTTCCCCCTCCCCGTTTCCTCACACGTGGTGTCTGAAATCCTACAAAAACTAAACCTCCTCACGAGATAATTCAGTTGAGGTTCGAGTCGCTCCCTCACATTGATGCTAAACTACACCCAGATGGGCCTTGGTGCTCTGTACATGCCTAAGTCTTCCATCTTTCCCTTTTTATTGGGGGAAAGATGCTGTCATCTGGATACCCTTAAAATGGGCATTATTAGACAGGTGCTTGTTTCTGAAACTAAGGGCATGCTTCTCTTTGTTGCAGAATAGGTCTGTCATGGATGGTCAGACTTGGGAGTGATTTGCTGTTATGCTTCATATTACCTCACTGTTCACTTTTAGTTCTGCTTCTCCTTCTTTGGGCTAATGTAAACACGAGTATTCATTTAGCTTCCCTTGAGATATCCGAACCACACACGCCACATGTTTGTGGTCACAACTTTCTCGCTGGTTTGCCGCAGAGAGACAGTTTTCAGCCATTTTTACAGATGAGAGGAATCGGCACAAATAGTTGGTCTGAGGTTGTGACACAAGAAAGGCAAAAGCAGGAAGCTGTAACTCGCAAATAAGGTGAAGTGGACAGCCCATTCCTTGTAAACGTGTCTGTACCTCTGTCTTCTCTCTGTTCCTCCCTCCTTGTATCTGACATTAAACAACATCTCACTCTTCTGTTTCCAAGCTGCCAGTTAGCTGTCTGAAGGTACTCCTCTACCACCACCTTATCCTCCCCGTCCTCATTTTCACCCACCCTGCTTTTGCCACGTGCCCTTGCACTATTTTACCAGCCAAACTCTTTAAAATACACTAAGGTTAAAATAAAAGAAATATTTGCATGTTAGTTCAGTGTCGGGTTTGATTCTCTATTGCCTGGATCAGGAATTTTGAGCAAAAAAATACAGCGTAGTGGGATATTCAATATGGTTTTCATCCCCATTGAGTCATTTTTACACTCCTTGTCTCCCTCTCCATCTATTCCTCAACATCCTGCTTATTCCTTACCTTCTGCAAAACAGGCCTTTTTTTTAAAGGCTTTTTTTTTTATTCTTGTGAAAGTTAAAGTGCTTTCACTGCATTTTCATTTTACAATCAAAAATGAGAAAGAAAGGGCTGCAGTCTCATGTGATCAGTCTGTAGCCGTTCCTAAAAGTTAAAACTTAAAAGATTTTTTTTTTTTCACCAGAAATTTAATTGAATTCTAAGAGTAATGGAGTGGTAGTGGTCCCTCTTGAAATTATTTTATTATTCTGGTGTAAATGTTCATCAGAGCTTAGAAAAATTATATCCAACCCAAACTTTAATTGACCTAATTGATGTGATCCATATTGCAGTTATCAGTATAAAAACAAAATATTTCCCGGGTGTTTTAGGTTCCGGGCGGGTTCTGGTCAAAATGCTGCTGTATAACACAGGAAAGCAGGTTTTCTGACTATCCTGAATAAGGCATTTTCATTTGACTCTTGTTCTTTTAGCCATTTTGATTCATTTAGCTATAATTTATGCTCAGACTGGCTGGTAAAAATGGTGGAAGAGGATGAGAGCCAAATAAGCAGCTGGATTAAAGCTCGTGTAGCACCATCAGTCAGACCATTCACTCATGACAGCAGCTCATCTTCTTCCTCATGTGCCTGTCCTACTTCATTTGCTTTACTCAGAGCCGGGCCGACGTTGGAAAAAAAAAAAAAACATTTTAAGGAAGCTTTTAAGTTACACCATCTCCCGCTTGGTCTATCCATCACTCAGATGTTGTGTTAAGTGCTGCTCCTCCATTTTCTGCGGCTGACCTGTGTGTATGTGTGCGTCTGTGTTTCTCTGTGTCGCTTGGCCAGGTCATCGACCCAGTGGCTCCCAGGTACACGGCCCTGTCCAGCTCCTACGTGGTTCCAGTTTCTGTCCCAGAGGCGAAGGAGGAAATGAAGGAAGTGGCCAAACATCCTAAGGTAAGCAGTGGCTTTTTTTTTTTTCGTAAACTGTTTTGTCAAATCTCTTCCTTAATGGCATTACCACCACGTTGAAAAAATCCTGACCCAGTGTGTCATACCATCTGCTCAACTCAGTCAGTTAAATATTCAAGAACCCAGATTTAAAATGTTATTTATCCATCCAGAACCCAGAGGTGGGGATGAAGGAGGTCTGGTATGGACCTCGAGTTATGGTGGAAGGAGCCGACGCAGAGACCCTCTCAGTGGGGGAGGTGGTCACCTTCATCAACTGGGGGAACCTCATCATCACCAAGATCAACAAGTAAGCCCGGTCACCGCTGATCTGAAGCGCAATGACGAGACATGCATTCTCATCTGCTGCCGTCCTCCCATTTCCCGACCGCTCAGGGGGGCTGACGGCAAGATCGCATCCATGGAGGCTCGCCTCAACCTGGACAACAAAGACTACAAGAAGACGACAAAGATCACCTGGCTGGCCGACGCCAATGGAGGCCCCCTGCTGCCCGCCGTCTGCGTCAACTACCAGCCACTCATTTCGAAGGCCGTCATCACCAAAGACGACGACTTCAAAGATTACATCAATAAAAACAGCAAGGTGAGCGTCCGAGCTCCATGTGTGAAAGACTCCCATGTTTGTAGCTTCCTCACACCCCTACTCCTCACCTTAAGTTGGAGGAGAAGATGCTTGGAGATCCCTGTCTGAAGAACCTGAAGAAGGGTGACATCATCCAGCTCCAGAGGCGTGGCTTCTACATCTGTGACCAGCCCTACGAGCCAGTCAGGTAAGAAAAAAAAAGACCTGAATCTGCCCGATATTTTTCGCTGCCATCTTCATTGTTTGTCTGTCTCTAGTCCAAACAGCTGTAAAGAGAGCCCTTGTGTCCTGATCTACATTCCTGACGGACACACCAAGGAGATGCCAACTGCTGGGTCCAAGGATAAAAGCAAGAGCCAGGCCTCCAGCAGCACAGTGAGTGCTTTAGGGAAAGGAGAGGGCATTTAAATGTCTTGTAAATTGTAAATATGCATCAGGTACTTGATCTTCTCCTGTCCTCTTAGCCTGCCTCCACCACCAAAGCCTCTTCAACCTCATCAACCCCTTCAGCCACAGCGGCCCCAGCCCCAACCTCAGCAACTGAACTGTTCTCCAGCATCGTTGCACAAGGCGAAACTGTCCGGCAGCTAAAATCCGCCAAAGCTCCCAAAGAGGAAGTGGACAAGGCAGTTCAGCAGCTGCTGTCTCTGAAGGTCTGTCAACCCGAACAATGTGAACGATTTCCCGCTGTGTCAAAATGGCATCTGAGCCTACTTTCATTCACTGCTCAGGCCCAGTTTAAGCAGCAGACGGGGGCAGATTACAAACCAGGCATGGCCCCTCCCAACCCCGCCCCATCCACGCCTGCCCCAGCAGCAGACTCCGCCTCCTGCCCATTCACCCGCGTTTCCAAGCAGGGCGAGCTGGTCAGGAAACTGAAGGCCGAGCAGGCGCCGAAGGTAAGGGGACATTTTTTCCACTCCACGGTCAGGTCCACATCTGTCTGTCCCTTTTTTTATTTTTTTATTTTTCAAAAAAACAATTTCATATGAAGTCCATTTGTCCCTCCGTTTGTCGTGCCCTTGTTCATCGTGTCGTGAACTCGCACCTCCAAAAGTCACCGCATGGTCATCCCCAGCTCACCGCCCGTGTTTCATGTCCAGCCGCCGCCCCTCTCCGCACGCCATGTTTGCATGCCGGTCAGCCTCAGTCATTAAAGTAGCCCCAGCTGTAAACGGGTTTGTCACTGGTACCAGGATCAGGTCGACGCTGCAGTGAAGCAGCTCCTCGCTCTCAAGGCGGAGTTCAAAAAGCTCACCGGTCAGGATTACAAACCAGGGATGGCCACCCCCGCCGCCACTGCCCCGCCCCCTGCGACCTCCCCCCCCTCCTCTCCTTCAGGCCTGTATGAGCGGGTCGCACAGCAGGGAGAGGTCGTGAGGAAACTGAAGTCTGAAAAAGCCCCAAAGGTATTCGGATGCAGTGAACAAGAGACGCCTGTTACTAATGCAACCACGATATAAACCAATCAGCTCACATCCAAATCGTGATGGTGCCCTTATTATTTTGGCACAGATGACGTCATTATTTGAAAACAAGATTTCATGCTTCCGGTTTCACATATTTACAACACAATAGATGCCCATTTTATATGTTTTAAGCTGATGTTTGTTTAGTTTATTTATTAAAAGTGATTACATACATTTTTCTAGGCGCACAATTGTGAATTATTACACGGATTTCTTTAATACGGCAAACCAAAGGAATTGCTCTTACTAGCTGATGTAGTCAACCAAGAGAGGACAAACCAGGATTACAGTTCAAAAACAGTTTACAAGCTGTTTATCAATGCAGCCCCTCAAACTCAGACTTGAACATCTCTGAACCTTAAAAAAAAGAAAAGAGATCGCTAATGTAATTGTGGCCTGCACCACGTCAGCCTCCCCGGCGCTGTGTCTTTTCCAAATTACAGGCTGCGACGTCAGAACAAAGAAAGGAGCTTATGGGTCAGGCACTAAATGATGATGGAGAACCGATCTGAAAGGCAGTGTTAATAAAAAAAATTAAAAAAATTAAAAAGACATGACTGCATTTTGTGAAATGAGTCACAGTGTACGCGTTTGTGTTCTTGCAGGACCAGGTGGATGCGGCAGTAAAGCAGCTGCTCGCCTTGAAGGTGGAGTATAAGCAGCTCACGGGTCAGGAGTACAAGCCTGGGGCTGCTCCGGCTCAGAAGGCCCCCGCCCCGGTCCAGAACAGCCCCAGTCCCGCCCCACCGGCTACTGGCCTCTACGAGAGAGTTTCCCAACAGGGAGAGGTGGTCAGGAAACTGAAGGGTGAAAAAACTCCGAAAGTGAGTTCAAAAAGTCCAGGCAGTCCCTCTGTCATCCGGACGGCCTTAACCAAACGTGTCCCTTCTTTTTGGCTGCTCGCTAGGATCAGGTGGACGCTGCCGTGAAGATGCTCCTGGCTCTAAAGGCTGAGTACAAACAAGAGACCGGACAGGACTATAAGCCTGGCCAACAAGCCCCAGCGAGCCCTGCGCAGAGCAAGGGCAGCCCTGCGTCCAGCCAATCCGGTCCCTCCCCGCAGGCCCAGGAGCTTTTCTCACTGGTGGCCCAGCAGGGGGAGCTGGTGAGGAAACTGAAGACAGAGAAGGCCCCCAAGGTAAGCAACCAGTAACAAGCCCTGTTTTAAGTTATTCCAGTAGGATGGCGCTGGTAATATCAAAGCAAGTCTGTCTTTCACTCTGGTTTATTTAATTCTTTTTTTTTTTTGCTGTTGTCCTTTCTCAGGAACGGGTTGATGAGGCTGTGAAGTCGCTTCTGGAGCTCAAGAGCAAGTACAAGTCTGTCACCGGAGAGGATTACAAACCAGTGACTACTCCGGGAGCCCCCGGAGGAGAGGACAAGAACCGTAAAGAGAGGGAGAACAAGTCTGAGAAACAGGGGGGAGGTGGAGGAGGAGGGGGAAAGAAGGGTAAAGGAGAGAAGGGGGGTCAGGGTAAGGAGTCATCCGGAGGAGCAGGAGGCTCGGGAGAGGGCCAAGGCCCAAAAAAACAGACACGGTGAGAGACTGGAGGGCGGTGAAGGAGGCCTTCACCAGCCATGAGCTGTCTTTGCTTTACATTAACATGTTTTGTCTAAAATGGTACTCAAATTATTTTATCTCAGGTTAAATAAGGATCATGAATAGTGAACATCGTTTTAGTGATATTGGGGAACAAAATGTTATTTTACTTTTTGCATCAACTAAATCCCATTTGCGGCACCATTTTCAAAACATGAACCAGTTTACACTTAAGTGAAGATTGGACTCTTTGTGTCCAAAGATGGATTGTAGCTTAAGGTCTATAGTCAGCTGTCTGTAAAAGTTTGCCGGATTTTACTGGAACCGGAGAAGTTGGAATGTCGAGCAAATAAAAAGCCTGCACAGAGTCTCTTTCTCCTAGTTTTGATTTAGAGATGCAGTAGTATATGTATTTTATTTTTTGTTAGAAGTGATTAACTGACATCCGGTGGGTACCAGTTGGTGGAAGTTGATGTATAGCTGGACTGGTGTTGGTATACTTAGGAAAAATTCTTCAGGTACAAAAGACAGATTTGTTGGTACTTGGGAATGTGGATGTGAACACAGAAGATGGATCGACTTTTAACAACCCTGCGCTGTAGGGTAATGACAGAAGTTGTAACTGATGTGGTGAGTGAATAGTTGATGGTTTTCATCTGCATTACATGTGCTTGTTGTCTTCCATCTGACTTAATAATTATCGTATTGCTTCAAAAGTCTGCTCATTGTTTACTACTAATTGTATATGTTCAGCCATAATATGGTGTGCAGATGGAAAGATGTGCTAATAATGCGCTTATTTTTCTTCTGTTGGCAGCACTGATTTGCAGTGAAATGATAACAAACACCGGATAGATTGTTGGGGGAATTTTGGCATACAGTTTGGAAAATTGTGTACAGAATGTGCAGTTTCCTGCCTGCCAAGTTAGCATAGCCTGTCAGCATAGATGTTTGTGCTAATTGGCCAGTGTAAGCGCGTTAATTATCTCATCTTAGCATGCTAACTTAAATATGCTAAGTTGTTTAGCGTGCAGTATTTGCACCAACCTACCCTTAACATGGTAGCAGTGTCATCCATTCATTAACATGCTAACAGTGCTGACTGGAGTATGTCTGCCTAGTCTTTGCAGATGAGGATTGGCACTTTGAATAGCTTGGCATGTTACAGCTTCCCAGACCAACAGCCAGAGTGGTAGTCTCTAATAAAGCTTGTTTTTCTTTTGTTGACTAGCATTTTAGAGGGGGAAAAAAATGGGAATTTTGAATGTGAAGATTTTGAGATGTGAAAAGGACAGAAAATAACTTTTGTTCCTCACACACCACCAAAATAAAATGATATAGTGACCCAAAAGTGTTTAATGTTTATACAAAATATAGGAATACCCATCCCCAATTCGACTTAATTTGAGTGGCATTATTCATTTGACTGAGATTCACATTCACTACTCCTGCACCGTCCTGTTTTGTGAGATTTCTAATGAATGAACAAACTAATCAGGCATGCCTGGACACACCCTTCCCGTTGTTACATTCTCATTGGTTACTATGGCCTTAAAAGAATAACCAAGAATTTTTTTTTTAAATTAAGATTTTTGCCATTTGTGATGCCAAAAAACAGAATTGGCCTTTAAAGTGAATTTATTGTTCACCTAAATTCATGCTTGAAATTATTTGTTCTTTTAGTTTTTTTATTAAAGGTCTTTTTATTTATGTCTGTTACCAGGTTGGGCTTAGAGGCAAAGAAAGAGGAGAACCTTGCTGACTGGTACTCTCAGGTGATTTGTCTTGATTCTTATACCTTCCTTTAAGATACTTTAAGATCTTTTAAAGTCCAGCCTGTTTAACATGCTTATTACGTCTACCTCAGGTCATCACTAAGGCAGAGATGATCGAGTACTATGACGTTAGCGGCTGCTATGTGCTGCGTCCCTGGTCATATTCCATTTGGGAGGCCATCAAAGACTTCTTTGACCGGGAAATCAAGAAGCTGGGTGTCGAGAACTGCTACTTCCCGATGTTTGTCTCTCAGGCCGCCCTAGAGAAGGAGAAGTCCCACATTGAGGACTTTGCTCCAGAGGTAAATGATACCCTTATGTTACGCCATCTTCTAAAATTCATGTAAAAGATAATACAGTTTGATTCAAGAGGGAATAAATTAATTGAACATTTTTTTGGGCTAATTTACTTGTTAAAATTTCCTGTTTCAGGTTGCTTGGGTGACTCGTTCAGGGAAGACTGAGCTGGCCGAGCCCATTGCTGTCAGACCCACCAGTGAGACGGGTATGAACAGCGGTTCTTTGTTGGGGTCTAAATCATACTGGTCTTTTTACACCAAACTGGTGATGGATTTTACTGATCCGACTATTTTTCGTTGTTATTGACTTCAGTTATGTATCCGGCCTACGCTAAATGGGTGCAGTCCCACAGAGACCTGCCAATCAAACTCAACCAGTGGTGTAACGTTGTGGTCAGTGATCAAACTCCCCCCTCAGCTCTCCTTCACCTTTGCTTGGAAATCGCACAAATTCTGCTGCGATGCTCCTTCCCTCCTTAACTCCCTCCCTTACGCCTGTTGCAGAGATGGGAGTTCAAACACCCTCAGCCATTCCTGAGAACGAGGGAGTTCCTTTGGCAGGAGGGGCACACGGCCTTTGCCACTAAAGAGGAGGCAGCTGAGGAGGTAACAGACCTGTCAACGCCTGCAAATCCGTTTCCATGCTTCACTTTTACCCAACAAGTTCATCTGTAACTCCCCTGAATCTAGTTATATATTTTTCTGTGGTTGTTTATTTTGTTACACGCATATAGGTGCTGCAGATCCTGGATTTGTACGCTAGAGTGTATGAAGAGCTGATGGCTATCCCCGTGGTGAAAGGAAGGAAAACGGAGAAGGAGAAGTTCGCAGGAGGAGATTACACCACCACCGTGGAGGCATTCATCTCTGCCAGCGGCCGAGCCATTCAGGTAAAGTGTCTGGTTCATTTACTTGACCCGAGTACATTTGAGCAAACAGGATTGATTTATCAAATGAGGAAATAGTAGTTTCTTACAGTGCTTTCTAATCATTGGCTGATCGTATTGTCTCGACAGGGGGCTACATCTCACCATCTGGGCCAGAACTTCTCCAGGATGTTTGAGATCGTCTTTGAAGATCCCAAAAAACCTGGAGAGAAGCAGCTGGCCTTCCAGAACTCCTGGGGCATCACAACCAGGACCATTGGTGTCCTCACCATGGTCCACGGGGACAACATGGGACTTGTGCTCCCCCCCAGGGTGGCCTGTCTGCAGGTACAGCCACACACCATAACGCTCTCAGGGGTAGTGATGCGTTGGTGCGCCCCACTGGCCACAGAAGATCTCCCCAAGATTACAGTGTGCCAAACCTTTCTGTTACTTCCCTTAGGTTGTCATCATCCCTTGCGGAATCACTGCATCCTTGCCAGAACAAGAAAAGGATGCACTGCTGGCGCAGTGCACTAAATACCTGAGAAGGCTGCTGGATGCCGGCGTCAGGGTGAAGACTGACCTCCGAGACAACTATTCCCCAGGATGGAAATTCAACCACTGGGAGCTAAAGGTCAGTCATCCCTCTGAATTGTGATAATTCTAGGTTTAGGAGTATTATCCCTCCTCCTTTGAGTTGGGGGGATAATGGATAGAATTCATTAATCAACAAGGAGGTTATCATTTTAACAAACATTTTATCTCTCTTTTCCTTTCTTTTTTTTTGTTTGTCGTGTAGGGAGTACCTATCCGTCTGGAGGTGGGTCCTAAAGACATGCAGCAGAAGCAATGTGTTGCTGTGAGGAGAGATTCAGGTGCAAAGGTCACAATACCACAGGTGGAGGTGGAGAAGAGGATGGTCGCCATGTTGGAAGACATCCAGAACAGCCTGTACAAGAAGTAAGATCAATGACTCCATTAATGCAGCCTCGATTTGAAAGAAAAAATCTCGCTCACAGACCAGAAGGGGGCAGAATACTTTTGCACACTGCACTTTTCAGTTTTTTTATTTGTAAAAGAAAATGTTTGGAATCATGTGTGATTTTTTACTTTACAATTGTACACAACTTTGAGTTGGTCTTTCACATAAAATTCCAATTGTAATGGGACAGAATAAGTGAACGTCCAAGGGGTATGAATACTTTTGAAAGCCATTAGAGCTATTCTGCTCTAATTTGGGTCTTTGTCAGTCAGATATTAGTATTAAAGGCAGGATTGCTGCACTCTCTGATCACAACTACCTGCTGGACATGAATAACATTACATTTTTCATGTTTTTGTTAGAGCTTCAGATGACCTGAGGACTCACATGGTCGCTGTAGACACGATGGAACAGTTCCAGAAGGAGTTGGACCAGGGAAAAGTGAGTAAAACAACCCACACCTCGCATTGTTTGGCCTCTGTAGACTGGGAAATAACTGATACATGTGCCCTCCTCTATAGATCGTCCAGATCCCGTTCTGTGGAGGAATTGAATGCGAGGACTGGATCAAGAAAATCACTGCCAAGTAAGTCCAAAATACCTGATAAGACCTTTCTTAGAACCTAATGGCTAGCCAGCTTGACCTAAATCAAAGTGAATAAGGAGAATACTGTCCATAAAAAAAGACATGTAAGATGGGAACTTACAGTTTTTTTTTTGTTTTTTTTTCAAAGCAATGTGGGAGGATTTTTGGTTCTACTTTGGTTATTTGTTCCATTTAGTTCAGGTGTTTTGGGAGAACCCAGTTTGACACAAACATCTCAACTACTAAACCCATCGTTGTGCCTCTATTTTCTCTCCTGCAGGGACCAGGATCTGGAGCCTGGAGCTCCATCCATGGGAGCTAAGAGCCTCTGCATCCCCTTCTCTCCCCTAAAGCCCCTGCAGCCAGGCCAGATGTGCGTGAGCGGCAAAGAGCCTGCACAGTACTACACCCTGTTTGGACGGAGCTACTAAAGCCCTGGTCCACCCCAATGGACACCTCCGTAGAGAAGGGCTTCCCCACGTCCTCCATCCAGTTTCTTCTATCCTGCTCTAATTTGGGTTTTTAAGCCAGCTGTGGTATGCGGTCTGAAGAGTTCAGAATAAGGAATGGTTTGTTTTGTTTTGTTTTTTTAACGTGTTAACATTGTGACGCAAAAACTATCTCTGTTGCAAAGGCAACAGAGATAGTTTACGGTTGGGATATAATCTGTTACCTTTGTATTTGATAACTATTCAAAGGCCATACACGTGGGCAGAATATTTACAGCCGAGAGGCAGTATGCAAATAAATATGGCTACCTCTGAAGCAGGTTTATTCAAATCTAATATTTTAACCTCTAAGGTCCTAAATTTAGCTGGTTTAAATGGTGTCGGTGATCATCTATAGGTAGATGCTGGCCTTTCAACTCTGTCAAAATCCTTCAAAAACTGTTAATGAAAGGAATCCCCTGAGAATTTTACCGTCTTCTGCTGAAAGGCACTCTTTGCTGGCCAACAGTTTCTATCTATCTATCTCAGGAACACTGTGGGTACTCAGGCTTGCAGTTTGAGTTTAATTCTTACAGCCATGTCAGCTCTGCTGTGCGTCCGGTTGTGTGACCACATTCTATGATGAATAAGGGATGGCGTTAAGTCAGTAGAGATGTAGCCACCTGCCACTTATCCCCCAATAATGTACTCTGCTGCCTGTGTATAATAAAGGAATTTCCATGACAAGGTGACTTGTTTCAGTTGATTATTGGTTACTTGTGTTTGAGTAAAAATATACACAGCCACAGCTTGTTTACATATAAAGCGATTAGGTAAAGACTCATCAATTAAAATAGCATTTTCCCAAATTAAACTGAACATATTCATATTTCATAGAAAAGATTAATTACAAGCTTTATGCTTATGTGGTGAATAGATACTCAAAATGTTTGGTTACCTCGTTATGTTATGTCACTGCACCCTATGTAATTAAGTCGGTAAAGCACTTCATAATCTGCTCAATGTTTTTTTTCCTGACTTTTATTTGTATGGGTGTGCGTGGAATTTGTTTGAAAGATGCTTACACGGAAACGGATAAAAAGGTAGAAGGAAACAAGAAATTCGGTGTTACTGGACTGCGATTGAGGAAAGAGTCTTTTGCAAGAGTGCTGATTCAAAGTAAAAATGGATCAAAATCATGCCTTCTTCCATTATAAAATAATACATAATTCTTCACGTACGACAAAAATCTTTGTTTTTATCTAATGTGCTTTATTTTTCTGGTCCTTTCAATCCCAAATGTCCAAAACTTGACTGTAATTTAACTTTCATTTGTCGTTTGGATGCGACAACCATAGACATACTGTATATAGATGTATACATGTCCATGGTGACACCCATTCTGACGTGGCGAGACTTTAATTTTGAAAAACCGGAAGTCTTTCCTTTAAAACTCCCTCAGCACCGTTCCGCTCCTCTCTTCTTTCCTGAGTGTCTTGTCAGGTTTACGAAGCGGCTTTCCAGCCTTGTAACTTCTCTTTTCTTTAGTAATAATGGCCGACAAAGGTCTTTCAGACGAAGCAGCGACAGCCGCCTGTAAAGACGGCGACCCCATAACAAAGGTAAGCGAACTCGCGTCTCATTTGAAGTTGGATGCAACTCAAAACCGACACTGACAAGCCGCCAAACCCAGCAGGCCACCCAATGCCTAACCGGTCAACCTGCAGTTCGGATGTCGTCCACCGCACTAATTTAATCGTAATACGCGGGTTACTCTCGTCGGTGACATGAGTTTGCATTTATTTAGGACGGCTGTTAAGGACGTAGGTGCGTCTGTGATAACAAAAAGCACGTTTCGTTCGAGCGTGCGTTGCTAAAAGCTAGCTTTTTAGCCCAACTTTTCTACCGTCTGTTCTTGTGTTTAGCTTAATTCGCCTCAAACTTGCTCCATAGAGCTTTACCGTAATTCACCAGAGCGTGCGCAGAACACTTTTGACACAGCTACTATTCACCAAAGGCGGTCAGAGCAAAGTGTTGTCAGCTAATGTGGTCTGGTGGAGGCAGATGCTTTGTGAACTTGTTGGCTAACGTATTTTGAGATGAAATTCACATATTTCCTTTCTGGCTGTCCTGTTGAGGAGAACGCTATCGAGAGAGGGCAGAATATGCAGAGTAGCAAGTCGGTACTTGCTCATAAAGCAGGCACGGACCCACTACGTGTTCCCTCCCCTATTTGGTATTTTGTCCATCTCGAATTGATCAAATCACATGATGTAGCAGCAGATAAATACCCAACAAACTGAAATAGCACTCCTTTCTGTGAATATTTGTTCCACCAACCAGTCACTCCTTTTGAAGTTAAAAACGTAGGAATTTAAAGAATGTGCTCACACCTGTGAATGTTCTTCGAGTGTGGCAGGTCTATGTTGACGTGTGAACTTTGGTTACCCAAATGTAAGTGTGATAGTGTGAAGAATTATTAACAAAAATGCCCACTTTGAGGGCTTTTGCAAGTCTTTGTTCCACTCTTTGCATTGCTGGTACAAAGGAATTTACAAGCCAAGTTGTAATGGGTGCTCCATGTAGATAAAGTAAGGGGATTTTCATTGGATGACTTGGAATTTGTTTAAAATTTCCTTGTGTGAACTTGACATTGTAGTAGGAAAGGCACAGGAAGGGGGGGGGGCACTTGCCAACCACATAGATAACACCCATATGTGAGACACATACACTTTCAGAGGGGAGCTACAGATAGAAAAGTAACCAGGGCAGAAACCGGGGGCTGCCATTTCTTTTGTACGATTTTCTAGTGTTGGTTTAGCCACATCACTCCCATGTGAAAGCACAACTTTTTCCCATCCAACATGGCCGAGTTGATTCCCCTGCTGGCCCATCTCCTGTGAAACCCAAGCAGCAGTCATTTGTCAGTCCCCAACAGTCGAAATGTGTCCAGCCTGTCCAGATGCACAGCTGAGCCAAACTTGCTTTTAAAAGCGAGCGCCAGAAAGTCGTTTTCGTTCGGCTTTGATTCGTCTCCAGCGAACAAGAGGTCTTTGGCCTGCGAGAAGACAACCCACCTGATGTTTTATCTTTGAAGATGCATCCGTTTTCTCTTGTATTTACCTTTTAAGTTTAGTTTTTTTTTTTATTAATTGCAAAAAGCATGAGTCCAAGCTTGCACACAAAACCAGTAATCTTAAGTTAATTAGCTATTTTACATATCTTGCTTTATTTCAGGATTCTAAGGTTAAATGAGACAGAAATTAGGTGTTTCAAGTGTTATTTTTGGCCTATTTGTGCGTCAAGGTGAGGAACAAGTCAGTACTTTTGTTTTTTTTCTTTTGTTTTCAGAGTTCTCTGTTGACTGAAAAACTTCCCCTTCCGCAGCCACACCTATGTGATGTGTGCAAGAACGGAGAAAGCATGCGTAGCTGTAAAATCTCTTTGGACATATTTTGTATTAATGCTGCTATCAGAGGTGTCCTAGAGCTTTTTGAAGGGCATCGATGCATTCCTCAGACTCCCACTGAGCTGATGGAGCTCAAGATTATCCTTTTGCACTTCATCAGTGTCTTCCAAAAACATCTGGAATTCTAATTTATCTGAGCACAGCACACATCTCCCCGATGCCTTCGAGCCTGGGGAGGTTGATGCTGACCTTGGATACAGTTAACTTGTGGCTTCCTCTCCGCACAGTTAGGTTTTAAGTGATATTGCAGCCATTCCTCCCCCACGTGGTTACATCAGCCTTTAATGATTCTTGTCTTTAACACACTGAAGGTCCTCCAGATTGCCTGAATTGCTTCACGATTTTCTGCGCTGTACATGAATCCATTCCTTGCAAGCTTTCTTTCAGGAGCATTTTCTAATTGTTCAGTGACTTTTTCTGACACATTTTTTAAAAACTAAAGATCTGCTTTCCATCATTGCACTTTTCTGCAATGTTCCACACATGTAGGTAAGAGTGGATGGAATTTGTAGCAGACCATTTTTGATAAATTCCAAATGGACCAAACACCAAGGTCAAAACTCAACTAAACTGACAGAATGTTTTGTATTTATTTCATCACTGTATTGTGTACAGTATTGTGTAACTAACCTGTGATCTCTGTAGCCAAATATCACCGAGCTCAGCTCCTCTGAATGAACAACAAGCTGTGAGCACAGTGAACAGCTGTTTCTGCAACCTCGACGTCAGTGTGTGTAAAGACTTGTCTTTGTGTTTTTGTGTGGCAGGATTTCATGATGCAGCAAACTATGCTGAGGGTCAAAGATCCTGTCAAATCCCTGGATTTCTACACCAGAATCCTTGGCATGACGTGAGTGTTGATGTCGGGTTCGTTCAGCTGAAAACTCTCAGGCAGCCAGGAGTAGGCGGAGGGATCCGTGAAAAGCAGATCCCTCCTCCTGGACTTTGACAAACTCGTGTTTTTTCATACAGTCGTACGGTTTTTGATGGTGAATGTGATGCGTTCCTTCATATATATAACGGTCCCTGTGAAAATCTTTTCCCTCTGATGTGCAATATCTCACAGGCTCCTGCAAAAGTTTGACTTCCCCTCCATGCGTTTCTCTCTCTTCTTCTTGGGCTACGAGGACAAGACGGAAATCCCTGCTGACCTGAAGGAGAAGACGGCCTGGACCTTTTCACGGAGAGCCACCATTGAGCTAACGCAGTAAGAGCATACGCTGTGCATTTAGACACAGTAGGGGAGCTCTGTGGAAGAGGCACAGACCATCCTCTGGTTATTTCTGCTGTAGGAGTTACCCCCGGTGTCTTTTTGAGATGAAGTATAATCCATTATACAGTCCTGCTCACCATTATTGGCACCCATGAAGTTTAAGTACATATAGTGGAATATTTTCTGAAGGAAATTCATCAAGTGAAACAACATTTTACTGCTGATAGCTTGTGCTCAATGCAAAACAGCAGATGATAAAAAACATTTAAAAAGATAAACATTATGAGGAAAACAAAGAAAAACATAATGTTTACCATGTCAATGGTATTGGCACCCTTTGCAGCAAATCAGTATAAAAACCCAATTTGGCTCACCTGTTGCAAATCACAAATAAAGATCACTTGCGATGAACTGCCTCCACACATGTGACATGAATTAACCAATGAATGATCATGTTGGTACTTTAAAAGCCACCTGTTAGTCCATCTTCACATGTGACAATGGTAAAGACAAAGGAGCTGACTGAGGACACCAGAAATGCTATTATTTGTAAGCACAAGACCTCCAAAGGGTATAAAGCCATCTCCAAAGACCTCTGTATCCCTGTTTCAACGGTGCGTAATGTTATTAAGAAGTTTTCCAGGCATGGAACGGTCAAGAACCTCCCTGGACGTGGGGGGAAGAGAAAAATTGATGACAGAAGTCTTCGACGGTTGGTGCGAATGGTGGAAAAAACACCACGTCAAACATCTAAAGACCTAAAGACCAACCTGGAGCAGTCTGGTGTGATTGTTTCAACAAGTACTATACGGCGCACACTAAACAAAGTGGGGCTTTATGGGCGGAGGCCAAGGAAGACCCCATTGCTGAAGAAAAGACATAAAAAAGAACGCTTGACCTTCGCAAAAGAGAACCTGGACAAACCTCAAGCCTTCTGGGACAACGTTTTATGGACAGATGAAACAAAAGTGGAGCTTTTTGGTAATTCACACAAACAATATGTTTACAGGCGGCGCAATGAAGCCTTTAAAGAAAAGAACACCATACCAACAGTCAAGCATGGTGGAGGATCCATAATGCTGTGGGGCTGCTTTGCGGCATCTGGTACTGGAGGGCTTGACCGTATCACAGGTATCATGAAATCAGAAGATTATCAAGCAATTCTAGAGCGAAATGTCTTGCCCAGCGTAAGAAAACTTGGTTTGAGGCGAAGATCCTGGGTCCTCCAGCATGATAATGACCCAAAGCACACCTCCAAAAACACGCAGGCATGGTTGAAAGGGAAAAAATGGACTATTTTAAAATGGCCAGCAATGAGTCCAGATCTCAATCCAATTGAGAATCTTTGGAGGGTGCTGAAATCTGCCATTGGAGAAAGGAACCCTGCAAATGTACAAGAGCTTGAGCATATTGCAAAAGAAGTGTGGGAGAAAATGCCACCCGAGAAGTGCAAGAAGCTTATAGATGAATATAAGAAACGTTTGGAGGCTGTCATTGCTGCCAAAGGCTGTGCAACCAAATATTAAGGAGGGGTGTCAATATTAGTGCACATGCTGGTTTTCTGTTTTGTCCTTTGCAATTAAAATATTTATGTTGAAATGGCAATTGTCTTTGTTAAATTACTTTGGACCTCAAATTGAAAGATACTGCTGATTTAAGTTTTGAACATTTCCATTTATTTCTGAAGATATTCACTCAGCTATGCTAAACATGAAGGGGTGCCAATAATGGTGAGCAGGACTGTATAAGCACTCATCACACCGTTGGGTGTGGGCTCCCTGTCCTTCCTGTTTGGTCTGCTCCTCTGCTTACCTCTCGATAATCCTCTTTTGTCCCCTTGTGTTTTTTTTGTTTGTTTTTTTTAGTAACTGGGGTTCAGAATCTGATGAGAATCAGTCTTATCACAATGGAAACTCCGATCCACGAGGCTTTGGTAAGATTATTCCCTCTGTACAACCCCCATAATGTGTCGGACTATTTCAATATTAGATCATGAGATCACTGCTTTTAAATACCGACCATAATCCAGTTAAATATCATCGTGAGATTTCCACTTTTCTGTTTTAATATTCATACCCACCCACTAAAGTAAAAAATTCTGTGTATAGTTTTGCCTTTTTTATTTTAAGTATTTTATGCCGGTGTGTTGGTATCTGCAGCATGTATTCAAACTCGGGCCTCTTTGCCTCTAAACCTAACAGGACACATTGGAATCGCAGTTCCTGACGTGTATGCAGCCTGCAAACTGTTTGAAGAACAAGGAGTCCCGTTCGTCAAGAAGCCGGATGATGGTAAGATGTGAGATGGAGACAACCTTTTTTTGTGGTGTAAAACGGCTAGAAATCATGGACAGCTTTTTCCATGGTGTGAACATTCAGTGAATGTTTTGACGTTAAGTGCACCTAGTAGCAAAGAGTGTGTGTGCTGGAGGGGGAGTTGACTGGCTTCAACATTTCTTTTTCAGGACTTTTAGCATTGGTTTGTATGGATTTGAGCATTTGAGTTTGGGTTTAGTTTATTTCCATTCCTTCTATTTTATCTCCCATTTGAACTCAGCGGACTGCAGCCCAGATTGTCCCATTCTAACGTAAAATTTATCCATTTTTGTTATTTGGTTTGTTGAACCAAATCTTACTCGCAAATAAACAAATTCATGTGAACGGCAGCCATTTCAACATTTAACCTGATGATAGTGGATGTTATTAAACACTCCTGAGAGAAAGATATAACAATTACTATTTACACAATGTTGTCATTTAGTTTGAAATAATTCTCGTCTGTTTTATATAATCAGTTCTGTTTGTGAAGCCTTTTTCTCCCATTATTTTACAGACCTATGCTCTGTATTTACAGTTCAGTCCTCTCACATTTATTTAATTTTTGTTTTTTTCATTCATTCATTTTCCTCAGGAAAAATGAAAGGCTTGGCCTTCATACAGGACCCAGACGGTTACTGGATTGAGATCCTGAGCCCCAACAATATGGTGTCCATCACCTCTTAAACACTACCCACATCCTACCTACTGCATGTATAAGGCCGGGCCGCTGTGGCATCACTGGGAGAGAGCACAGCGGGATTCAGCAACATGCGCCGGGGAGCTGAGGACAAACGGAACAGCATCACTGGCTTAGTGGAAATCTGTGTGTTCCCAGGTGTGGACTGGACTTTTATTGTACAGTTGAAGAGCACATGGATTGAGTTATTGCTATGTAACTACTTTCTGTAGTCGTCGCATTTGTGTGCCAACATCAGTGCGTTTTCAAAAGTGATTCTGGAAATAAAGCGATATTACTGTGTAATAAATGTGAAAGCCACAGTTCCGATACTATTGGACCTGTTTTTTATTTTAATTTTAGTTTAAAAAAATTAGTGGATGCTTTAGTATTCGCAGCTACAAAAAGCAACAATCAGACCATCAGTTTTCTCAAATTCACAACCCGAAATGTTAGAGAGTCTGTTCGAGTAGATTTATCCAGCACATATTTAATTTTTTTTCCTCCTCTCTCTTGTTATTATGAAGGCATCGGGCAGTTTATGGTAGTCTGATTTATTTTCTTAAGTCAGACTTGTTTATCGGAACAGATTTAAAGTTGCAACAACCTCCAGACACAATGGAACTGTGTGTTTCCTGGGTTCCTGCTGCTTGTATATGGTATCTCTGTCTGCCACTAGAGGGAAGTCTAAGCAAACCACCCTGGCTCAGTCCATCCCATCCCAGAGACCCATGGATTATGCTTCGAGGTTGAAGAAAAGTAGGCCAAATGCCATATTTTGTGAGATAAAAGGCGTGAACTGTTCATTCAGATGTGATAAGTGATAATCTATACTTCTGATATGATGTGAAAGGCTGTGAGCTTTAGGTCATGAAATCCAAATGGCCGCATGTGACTTTATGAACCATGCACTCCTGTCATTTCAAGACTGTAGCAGCTTGAAACGCTGAACTAGAATGCAATCGCAGTGTGAATACTGAATCGATGAATAACACATGGAATCACATGAACATTGTGTTTAAAAGCTACAGGGTCACTAAGACGCCACATCCCTGAAATAAGTGGTGGGTAAGTGGTAAAACAGTTGACCATCTGCAATCTTTGACCTTTATGGGCTCAGCATCTTGCTCACCAACGCGTGCAGATGCGGGGATCTGAGGAAAGCCACTGAGCTTTCGACCTCCAGAACCCCGTGAAATATCTCACCATCCCATAAACGAATCTGAGTGCATTTCACGCATTCATGAACCACCCTGGAGATCGCTTGGCTTTCCAGATGAAGACATCTCTGCGAGCCACAGCTGTACCGTTGTGAAGCTGGACTAATAAGCAAGTTGGAACGCCCCAACACTCGTGAGTGATGAGTCACAGGACAGCTAACACCGCCTTGGGCTGGACTACTATCTGAGAACGTATTCAGCAGCAGCATTAATCCACTCCACTCCCTTTAGCTTTTCGAGGCCAAGCAATTATTCTCTATTTAACGGCTTTTTTCTTTTCTTTTTTTTGGTCATAACATTAAAAAGTCTGTAACAAATGCAGCGATTTGAATAGAAAGACTGATCAAGTAGAGAACTGATAAAACTGCCATGTTGAAAATCTGTCCAATCTGGATATAAGTGAAGAAATATATAGAAAATTTGATTAACTTGAAGCAATCTAAATGTAATTGAAACAAAGAACAGACGGACTGAATAAATGTTAGATCCTAAGGCAGAATTAGGCAATTATTCAGTTAGTAAATATCTGTTAGAACATTTTCAAAAGTTTTCATTTATATCTGTATGAATTTGTATTTTTTTGTATTCTTTGCAAACAATATTAATTCATCTGCAACAAACTGCAACATCAGTTGTTCTTTATTCTTCTGTTTTTGTCTCTTTTTCTTTCTCATTCATTGCTAGATGAAACCATTTAAATCATAGGGAGATTTTGTTTCAACTTCTGTGAGGTAAGGACTAACCCTGAACTTCCTGTTTGGGTCACTGAATATACTGTGCTTTAAAAAAAAAAAAACAAATTTCTGTTACACTTGGTGAGAGAGGTCGGAATTGATCCGACACGGTTTGGCTCTTTAATTAGTTTTTTTCATCAAAATAAACATGTTTTAGTCTATATATGTATATCATATATATATATATTTCATCCACATTCAGTGGATGAATTAGGTCCAATAACTAGGTCCTGTCATACAAGGAGATCTGTTCTCCAGGACCTGGTTTAGATTAAATAAAATATAAAATCTCTTACCAAATTCAAAGACAGACAATGTTAAATTAAAAAAAAGGAAATGACAAGGACAAACAAAGGAATAGAGATGAACAACACAGTTATTCAAAGATAAAATTACTTTATGTTTCCTCGTTTGTTCATCTCTGTATGTACTTCCTGATTTACCGTCTCACATTTTTCCAGTTTGAATGTGTTTGTGTGTCACTCTTGTCAGTCCATACACAAAAAACGACTGATTACATTTCCTCCTGATGAGCTCTGCCACATACAGCTCGACCGAGGCTCAAAGCCATCCACTCTGCCAACGAACTCCCAGATCCCACTCCAGTTGAGCTTTTTTCTGCCCAGTATAAGATGGCTGACGCCCAAGTTCACAGTAGCTCCACAAACCGTAAAACCCAACGGATGGCTTCCAAATGTGCTGGTTCCAGAAGACCCCGAGAGGACCCACATCCAAACCGCAGCCTGTCTGAACTGCTTTGGTCCTGCCAGATACAGAAAGCATTTTGAGAGCTGAGTGAATTTTCAGACTGTCCCCTGAACAGAGAAGCTGCCTCAGCTTTCACACCCTTTTTTTTAACTATCTGACACAATTATCTGAGGTCTCTTTAAGATGTAGAAGAAAGCCTTAATTCATAAGAATCGACAATCATTACGTATAGCGTAAACTCTAATCTTATGTGACTCAAACAGGCAGAACTATGCTTGTGATCTTAAAAGTATGGAAAAAAAGTCCAGTGACTTTTTTTTTTTTTGTCTCAGAAAACTTTATTATTCCTTTATTTGTTCAAGGATCTCTGCAAGAGTTTTTTTTTCTCTTCCATTGAGCACGCTTGCAGGACTGAGATATTTTCTATTATTTTCTTTTTGTCTTTTCATGAAATTCAACCATTTACTACTTTGAGGGTATTTAATCTGGTTTTGTGCGTTCTCTATAATGAAAGCTCACTAATTCTGCAGCAAAGAGCAGAAAAAAGGTCTAATAAGCTTGTTTCCAGACTTCTTAGTGACAGCCCATTTAGCATTTAACCTCATTATGGTGGTGGCATCACATCTCGTGTTCAAACCAGTTATTCCCATGGCTTTCTGTCTAATTACCTCATCTATATGTGATACTGTAGATGCAGCAATTAGCCATTTTAGTGTCCTTGACCCAATCGATCACATTCACATTGCACATGAGGACGTGAGGTAAACAAATTTCTTTGCATTACAGAATTACAAAAATACTGCTTGTTTTTCTTGAGGCATCAGGGTGTTTGTATCTTGTCATCATAGCAGACTACATCTCAGTGAGAGAGTTTGCAAAGAGAGCGTTATTGGTTCAGGGGCTGTGGGAAAGTAGCCCACCACTTTAGTGATGTCACTTCTTGGATCAACAAAAAAGGTAAAGTCACACACACTAAAATAGGACTGGAAAGCGAGTTTTGAGCCGTTGCATCCAAACGGATCAAACACACCAAACAAAATGACCGTCTTTGCTTTATTTCCACTTGAAAAGGTGTGTTAAAGCTGTAACACAATGCCTGCATGAACAAGCCTGTAATTTTTACAACTGAAGTGGTTCAAATATAATATTAACGTGTAAGTGATAAGTGAACAGATGAGATCTCACCCACTTTTGCCACATGGGACCAAGCACTGAAATGAGATTTACACACTTTTAAGTTTTTAATGGGCAAAATAAGGACAAGCGATAAGACTTCTAACTAAGCCTCTGAAAAGTGTATATTCATTCTTCCATTTGTCCATGACATAGACTCACCAAAAAGGCCCAAAGTTTGTGAGATGATGGTGTTTTTCACTGCAACTTGTTCTGCCCTGGGAAGAATTGTTAAAGCCCCTTTTTAGAGAATCCCACAACTTAGAAAAGCACCCTCAGGCCTGTAACCATTTTGAAGTACTGAGATAGTGGAAATGTTGTACATTCATGAGCTGTCATTTAAAAAAAATCCATTGTTTACGCTCCAGATACAGTGCATTGCAAAAAAAGAAAAGAAAAAAAGGGCATTTCATGGTTCCCGATGATCTCTAACATGAAGCCGTTAAACTGCCTCGTGTAGGTGAAAGATGACATCATTCACACGCGTCTATGCGTGATGTTAAATCTGAGACAATGTGCCAGCGAGCAGCATGTGGTCGGCAAACCATGCTGTGGAAATCGCTGAATGTATGTACAGTGACTGGGGGTCCAAGAAGTTAGTCAGAGACCAGAGAAAGAAATCACACTAGCCCACACACTTGCTGACACTCACGCTCACGTTCACAGCAGCCGTGTTCATACACGCTCTGTTCTGGAAGCTTTACTTGCTGTCTGAGTGGAAAATCTGGTTACTGATAGCAGTCCGATAATAACTGTAGATTCCAAAATGGCTCATTGAATCCACATCCCTCTCAATTTTTTCTACTTTCTGCCCATCAAAGATTCCTGATAAAGTAACTGGAAAAAGGTGTTAAAAGCATAAAATATCATGAAAATATTTGTCTCCAGATTAGCAAAAGGAAAAAAAGTCCGGAAAAAGAAGAAATGCAACAAAATAGGTGGGCGACATCCTGTTAGTACAATGCTAACACTGAATGTCAATAAGCTCGAGCGGAAAATGATCATAAACTAACAAAGCTGTTGTGTTTCCCTGATTATTCTATCCACCAGAGCTTGCAGGTGGGACTGAAAACCCTTATGGTTTGTGCTTTGCAGGGGTATGGTGCATTAAAGCACGCGGCATTAGCATTATTTCTTGATTTCGGTGTTCATTTTCTTTTTAAAATCTCACATAAGTAGAAGTTATTTAAAAAAAAGAAAAACCATGACATTTTTACATCTGCCATGCAATTAACCTTAAAGCAAAGGTCAGTTTGCAACATCGCAGATAACAATACCCGTTTCACCTTTAGTGTACTTCTTAATCTCATAGAGAGTCAAAATGGACCTCATTTCTTACCCACAGTCGGATGAAACACCGCGCGTCACGCGTCTGCTTTTGGCTGCGGGGCTCGAGGTGACCGGCTTGCGCGTGGAGGTTTTTTACCTGATGATTCTCCTCTACCTCTAAGACATGCCCGTGGTGTTCAGCTTGTGCCTGCGCAGAAAAAAAAAAACCCCATTACACGCGGTTAACAGGGTTAATCACTGCACAGCTCTCCATTTCGGGCCTGACTGACACAGTCCCGCGGACACTTCTGCTGCCTTTCCCTGCACGAAAAGCCACTTTGCAGAAATTAGTCTTTCTGCCCGTGGATATTTTCTGTAATCTCCATGCGCCCGACTCTCGTCGAGAGGCGCCTGGGAATTATCTCTGCTGGTCCACATCTGGCTGGTAATTGCGGTGACTTAAAAAAGGAAAAACAAACAAACCTCCAGCCTTTATCCCGGGAGATAATAAGGGGAAAGAGTGCATATGTGAGCTATAGGATAAAAACGCTCGCCCAGGCCGGCCTATCATTTGGGAGAGGTAAAACAGTAATGGCAAAATGAACGGAAGCACACACAGCGCAGGCACAATAACATGACTTATAATGGACGTTTTTCACAGTGAATGAAGCTTTTTCTGACAACAGACAATCTTCATCCCACTTTTACACACCCGTTTACACTTGCGCTTTAACATTAGGCAGCCAGACGATTT